AGGGGATTTGAAAGCACTGGTTGCAACATCTGAGGGTTCTAATTGCACACCAAGTGGACATTTGAAACTAGGTTTGCTGTGACTTACATAAGGAATTGTAGCTAATCTAATTGTTTCTACAGCTGCTGTCTTGAGTTAATTTTCTCATGCCTAATTTCAAAGTCTAATCTGACGTCGTATACAATTCAGATTCATATCCAGATTATAGCTGATTTAGAAGTTGAAGTCGCCGCAAACATTCAGGATGCGAAACCTTAAGTGCTTCTAAAAATAATATCCGTACTCAATTAAAGTACTTCTGGTATAAACTATTGGTATTTCTCCTAGATGAGCAAGAATAATTAGGGTTTTTAATTAGATAGAAAGAATAAAGAATGCATGGAAATACATACTAAAAATCCTAGACTTATATATGAAAAAATAATCTAAAAAACTTATTATCTTCAAAATAATAGCAAAAGTTGTATAAATTAATATCCATTTTCTATTCAAAAGTGGGCAACTTGAAATGCTCCTTAGTTGGATTTAAAGTTTTTGAATGGTTCATTGTCTAGAATTGTTGGTTTCTTCTTTGCTATCTAGAATTATTTTGGATTTATTATTTATTGTATGGAAATAAGAGAGGTAGATTATAGCCCTCATATAGCCCTCAATTCTTTGCTCTTCTTCAAGTTGCTCAAGTTTGCAATCTAACATGGATGATTCTTCCACATGCACCACATAATAGCATTGACAAAAAAATTATATTCTACAACATAAGTCTACAGCAAGAGAGAATTGTAAATTTGCAATGGTGTGTACACATTCTATAATGGTGTGTGCACATATTTTATATACAAGGATATTGTTTAAGAATCAAGAATCATAAATCACATTTTTGTAAGCATATTTTATATTTTAAAAGAATCTTAAATTAATTTTAATTGATTTATTAAATGAGTCAAATTTCTTTAACTAATTTACTTTGACTTAGTTTAAACCAAAGTGGTTCAACCAATTCAAATTGGTCTTCAAAGATTTTTCAATTTTATTTAAAAAATTTAAGTCAAGTCTTCATTTATAGTTGTGGTTAAAGTTCTATTTAAAACTAGCTTCTATTTTATAGCTATATTTGGTTTAGTTATTGTAACTCTAAATCTTATAATTTACTAATCTAATTATTTAATATCTAAAATTATTCAAATTAATTAGTTTATTTAGTATTTAAAAGTATATATATCATCAATAAGATGTTTATTAAAACTAATTAATTTCTATGCCAAAGATAAAACAAAAGTCTTAAAAAAAATTTAAAATATCAACTAAATCTATTGTTAATATTGATATGTTATAAAAATCGAATTTTTTTAATATTGGTTAATTATTTTTAGGTTATTATTACTAAAGAATTTTTTTTATTATATTATTATTTTATTTTACTTATAGAACCTTTAATTGTAAATTTTATTTTTTACAATTTTTTTGCAAAATAACTTTAGTATGGTGATAGGATGTCATGTTTTTTTGTGACTTTTTTATAAAAGTATTATATGTTTATTGATTATATTTTAAAATAATAATTATTTTTAATTAATTTATTATATAAATATTATGTAGTTATTTCCAATCTCTTTTCAAAATATGTAGAAAAAATCTGCCTCTACTCTATTTACACTTTTAGACTATTATTTTTATTAATGCAATATTTTTTAGAGAATAATTTTTATGCTACATCTCTAGTTGATATTGCTACACCCCACATGACCTCTACACAAGTGAAATTGACTAAAAAGTGTGTTTTTGTCCTTTATAGTCTAATATTTAATTCCAATATTGATTTAAAAAATAAAAATAATAAAAAAATATAAAACAAGATTTTTGGATTTTTGATAGCTAAAAAATTAAAAAATTAAATATATATATACATATATATATATATATATATATATATATAGAGCTTGTAACTTATATTTTCATAAAATATTCATTGTCACTCTTGCTCAACCACCATCATTTTTTAAAGTGAAGAAAGAAAATAATGAATAAAAGAAAGAGCCATATTATTAGTTAGTTATCTATGAGGAGGTCACATGGAATACAACTATATCAATTGAGAAAGTTGCATTAAAAATTCTCATATTTTATGTACTCTAATTCTATTTGGATTTAGAACATATCATAAAACTACTCTAATATATAAAATTTATCAACTATTTTTATTTTATTTTTATTTTTTAAAATTAATTATTTATTTGTTTTTAAATTTATACTTTTAAAAAATATAATATTATACCTACATCTATTATTATGGATATAGCTATATGATTTAGTTTTTTTAATTAATATAAAACCTCTTAATTCTATAATATATGATATAGTTTTTTTTAATTAATAAAAAAACACATTATAACAATAGTATTTAAAATAATTAAGTTTTTTGAAAAATTTAGTACATAATTTTTTATAATCAACCTTTCAATACCTACTTATATTTTTATATCTTTAAAAATATCTGAATATTAATCATTATTTATTAAGTCAAAGAATCGGATAGTCTTATACTTGGTATGTTTCTTAAGAGAGGAAATGCCTTTCAAATCAATTAAATAAACCTCTGCTATATAAACCTTATCATCTATATTTTGGCTCAATTTCTCGAAGTGGATGAAATATATACAAACAACAACTAAATTCCCTAAGAATGTAGAAGGCAATTACTCAAGTATTGCTTATCTTACTATGTAATTGTGAACTAAATGCAAAGTAGTCATGTAATTCCAACAAAGATTCTTGTCTTTGTTTGTAATTTTTCTTGATAAAATGAAGGTTTTTTTCTCATCTACAATTAATTCTAAAGCATCATAATAGAAATTAGTAACACTTACAAGTTTGGCTTACTTAATATTGTCAAATGTTATTGTGGTATTTTTAAGTCTATATTACAAGAGGCCACATTCAATTGCCTTCGTTTTTCTTTGTTAATAGTTTAGTATCATGTATTTTTTTCTAGCTAATCTTTTCTATCACTACTTTCAACCATTATATATTGCATTTCTATTTTATTTACTTTCTACTTAGTAGATAAGCAATACAACACCAAATAGAGTGATTTCATTGTATATATATTTATTATTATTGTTATTCTTTTTATACTTAATGTTTTAATAAATACATTAGTAGCTAATACTTCCAATTCTTAGCTTTTGCTATGTAATAGAAATTTACAAACATGTGGTTTATTCATGTCTTATTTTATTTTTCACTTATTTTTAAAAACTCTCTAAGTAAGTTATCACCTACAATGCAATTTTTAGGAATTTATTAAGATATTTTTTAATGTGATCTAGTGTGAGATTTTTAATATTCTTATTCTATTTGATGCATCTAAATCCTAAAATGCTTTAGGTCAAAGTTAGAACCCTAAAGCAAAAATATATAAATACTTAAAAAGTCATGTATGGAGATTATACCAATATATTTTGCAAAATTTTGAGCAAGTTTTTTTTAATGTAAAAACAATCTTTGTCAAAGTTACTTCGTACAATAGTTTGTACTAATATTTGTTTAAATAAACGTAATAAAAAATATAATTGTTTTAAAGAGAGATTTTCATGATAAGTTAACAATCACTATATTTTATTTAGAAACTTAAATATTTCCTATACAATCCTCCTATTAAATTTTAATAAGTATAAATCTATTTTCATTTAAAAGAAACAATATAACTTCAAGAATACAAGAAAAACTATTTTCATTGATGGTTTGCTTAGATGAATAAGAACAATATGATTGTTTATGTGACTCAAGGGTCATTATCATTATGCAAACTTCTCTCAAATTTGTTAAAAAAAAAATCCAACCAATCTAGAATCTTCTTTTTAAAGATCTTCAATGCTCTCTCATATGTGCACATGCAATCACATACCGTAAGTATTCATTTAAGCATGCTAAAAAATCCTACCATAAAAGAATTTTTATTTTATTTTTAATTTTTTTATTGTTATATAAAAAAAACTTAATTTTATGCACCATCTATTACTTAAATGCCATTTTTATACACCAAATGTAATCATTACAAAGTCCCTTGCACACATAGAACCTAAAACTCCCAAACATGGCATCAATTGTATCATTTCACAAAACCATAACTCCAAAAAGTATGACCTTTACTTTCCATGTACCTTATATAATTGATAGCTTTGCATTGACTTCCATCTAATATTATTTTGTCACTCATACTTTAAATACTTCAATTCCAAATAACTATTTGATATATATATATATGTAGATAATATTTTATTTAATATAAAATATTAAATATCTATAAATATTTATAATAATAACAACAAAGATATAAAATAAATTAAACCAATTACAATGATAATTATTTTTTAATATTTACATCAACTACCAATTGTTGATTTAGCTAAATTTTAATTTAGTATCATCTAAATTTATTATCTATCATTGAATCTACTTACTATTTTAAAAAAAATTGTTGATTTTTTATTTTTAATAACAAAAATCAACATACTTCAAGTTTTGATTATGTAATGATGAATCATTCTACAATATGTATGTATAAATATAGGATATTGCTAATGCCACCACAATTTTTGCTACTCACTACAATTCAATATATATATATACATATTTTAAATTTCAATCACAAAAATTATAACTAAATTACACAATGTAAGTACTATCCAACTAAGAAATTATTCGAATTAAAAAAATAAAAATAAATAAAAATAAATAAAAATAAATAAACATGTTGAATTGGAAGCAAGTTACATTAGTAGTAGCAAAAACTGTGGTGATATTGATATTAGCAATGCCCATAACTGTATACATGTAACGTGCGGACTTCATTCAATACTGTTCCCTTTTCTTCAATTTCCGATCCACAACACAGGGCCCAATTGTTGATCGACAATTTTACTCTTGATGCTCTACTCAAATTGAAACAAGTATGTCATCGTCACTGCCCTCATTGCTACTTTTTCAGTATCATATGCAAATAACATGTAAAGATTACCGTTGTGTTTCTGATTATAATAGGATTTGCAATTGTACATATGACACTTACATCCAAGGGTCCCCTGGACCCACTTCGGCAGCATACTCAAGACAGCATCTGCAAATGGCAGATTCTACACTGCCCGCCACCTGCCATAAGCTATCAAGGCCTAGCTAAACTCGGAAAAAAGGCCAAATACTACCTCTATATTAAGTCCCAAAGTTGTGAACCAAATTCTGTAACCACTACCCACGAAGGAAACTATGCAACCCTGGAGGTTGCTGGCTTGCAGGCAAAGATTGGTGCAAGTTCAATCCACAGGTTGGGGCCAGAAAAGCGCAAAATCGAAGGTGGTTGTACATTAAGCCACGGTAGGAACCTTAGCCGTTCCATCAACGACCAATTATACATGTGTGGCAAGAAGCTCGTCAAGGCAGGGATTCATCATAGGCAGGATAGTTTTAAACCCTGCTTGGTCCTCTCCAACCATGTCATGGAGACAGTTAAAAATTAGCTGCAGGCATGTCCACTAATTCTTCAGAATGTAATCACGTTCAGACGATCTGCAGCATGAAATACTGCAGTGATTATCTCACCTTCTCAAGCAACCTGATGAACCGGGATCACCAAGTATTTAAATTACCTACCTTGTCACAACCCTTGGATAGCAACTGATCCAAGTGACATCATAGTTTTCTTCTTAATGGACACATCCTATTACAGTTTTGGTGGTCACAAATCTGACGGGATGGAAGGAATGAAGCGTGAGAGCTCGGCAGTGAGAGATTGGAACCCAATCACAAGCTGCGAATGAAATTCTTGATCCTCCTCCCCAATAAGTCTTGCATGCACCCGTATAGCTTTCTTGCACACGGCCATGAACTCCAGAAGTGCTGCTATGAGCTGCTGAAGTTCCTGTGGCTTGAGTCTTGTTGCAGGCTCCCCAGATAAGAAAGCAGCACAAACTCCAAGCACTCCACTGTTCACCTGTAAGAAGACATCAGGACTGTCAATCGCGATAATATAACACCTCTCGATGGTAAATGTTTTTGGAGGAAATATGTAGAATCTTTTAAGAATTCACTCACATTCAGAACTCAAAATGAGATTGCAGTAGGGGAAATAAAGAAAGTACAATGACCTACACTAACTGATACACAATATAAAGCATGCAATTATTGTTAAGGGCTGAGCACTCCCAAGATTCACCTGCACTGCGACACTTCCTTGCAGTATCCGTTGCAGACTTTGCAACCTAGGGAGATGGTCACCTTCATTCAAACGGTGGTCATCTAGCTCCCCTGCTAAGGCAGCTGTACGGGTCTCAATCATGCCTATCGCATTCTCAATTGGCGAAAATTCTCGAGACTCTGACTTCACAACTGTTAAACGGTTCACAAGAGCTGGGAAAGGACCTTCTGTCCAAAGAACTGTACGTCTTTTCCATTGGTCCTCTAGACCTCCTTGCGACCTGCCATTCTTCGTGAAAGGGGTATCAAACAGAAAACGGTTGTACACCCGAGCACTCACCGTTGCCGCAGATCTGCAGGACTGTCTCTCTCGTCTACATTCCAGGTCCTCATCCTCAGTAACAGGCTCAACAGATGTGATTTGCAGGTAGCAGATCTCCGGTTGAAGATCATTAACCTTCACTTGCCGAGAGTCAGGAATAATATGCAAGGACTGTTTTCCATCAATCACTCTTGGCTCATAAATATTTCCCAAGCTTCTCATAATATCCCCCAATCGCACATCCCTTGCCTCCCTGTAAACATATTCCTTGCAGTTCAGGCTGCCAAAACTTTTTCCGTAGAAACCCACACGATAGTAAGTTGCATCCGTAAAGGGGATCGGACTAGATTCTTGCTCTACTATGGCTTCGTAAATGCTGGTCAGAGAAGTATGGCACTTCGAGAGTTGTCCGTATGCACGCCTTGCTTTATGAACAGGAATGATAAGCTCCAAAATACCTGAAGAAGAATTAAATTATTTCAGTCGAGCACAAGGAATCAGTAGGTGTTGGAAGCAGATTAAATTTTAACATTAATTCTTTTAAAAGTTTGAAAGAAAAAGGAAAGAAAACAAGAGCAGGATAATTAGTTTGAAACAAAGGAGCTCGGCGTCCAACATCGAAAAGTACATGTCTTACCAGCACAAAAATGAAAAAGCTCTCCCTGAACAAAAAGTTTATTTGCAAGCTGAAGATACTTTACGGCTGACTCCACAGTAAGCTTAGATGACCCATAGCCCTCTATCTCTGCACTAGCAGCTTCTCCAAAGCTAGCACCGGTAAGCATTGGGCAGATTTTTCGCAATGCTTCGACATGTTCCTTGCCCCACATGTGATCTCCTTTACCCACAATAGCCTGCATATGAAAGTGCAAGCACTAAGATTACCATCTGAATATCAACGCAACTTCAGATAAGTACACTGAAACATGCACCTTCTACAAAGATAAGTCGCCCAACCTAAAACAAATAAATAAATACAAAATAAAAAATTAGACGGGATCCTATTCGTAGAGACGATGAATCGGTTATGTAGTTCACAAACCGTCCTACAGAACCTTTAAAATATACAATCTTAAGACGTGATTAGAAAAACTCCAGCTATCAATGTTTGAGTCACACGAGGAAGACACTGCCAGACTTGCACTCTTTGCATTTGGCACAGGAGGAATCATTTTTTCGTTCAAAGGAGAGGACAAACATCACAGGACAGATATATGATCATTACCACTATTCAAGACCGCATCGACCTGAACATTATTCACATTTTCTCAATTGAAACAGCCAAAAACATTGAAGTGAAAAATCAGAATAAAACAAAAACAAAGGACCAGAAAACTCATTAGTCCGAGTACCTGCATAATGACACCAGCAACAGCAACTGCACACTGGGCTGCTTCTGCATAAGACTGGTTGCCTTGATGAACTTCACATAGATAGAGAAGCCACATAATGTGTAGATCAGGAACGTTGGAGTATGCCCTAGCCAGACCATAGTATGCCTCAGCAGTGGCATATTTGTCAGTGGTCATGACTTCTGGGCCCTGCAGTAAGCCAGGACAGAACAGTGAGAAGTCCGAAATCTTATGACCTTTAGGGCAACACAAAACATGGAAGACATTGTGGTATGAAAACAAAGCGCAAAGAAGTTCAGGACTTTAACAACTGCTGCTTAACTTCTACGTCAGGCTCAACCACATAACCAAATATTGTGATAAATAATTAAATGATTGATGGGACACCATTAAAACAATTGTCAACTTCACTGAATAGAAAGGCCAAGTACCAGAAGAGCATGTCCAACAGCAGCCTCAACAGCTTTAAGCAAAGTGCTAGAGAGCTCGGCAACTCCTGTCCAGCTCCAACTTTGCTCAAACTCTCCCTCTGGCATTATTGATAGTGTATCTTCAGGAAGTCCACATTCACGAAGAAGATCTGCATTAATGTTCTCCTGAGCGATTTGCCGCAGCGATCTACGAAGGCGTTGGGACTCACCACTTTCTTCTAAAGATCCATCCATTCGATGTTGTGTCACTTGAACATCCGACATAAGCTCGGACAGCGTGATTGTGAGCAACACACGCAGACGAGAGAGCCCTTTGAAATATTGGAAAGCTGTCTGTAGAAAGTAGAAAGTTTTTCAAATTAACAGAGTAAAAATAATTCGTTATATTTACACTCCACAACTGAACTGAGATTTTACATAATAATAAAGACCACCTTAACTATACACATAGTTAAATAAGACATCTCATGCCACCAACCACCACTCATATACTGACAGGCGATTCACAAACGTCAACGGTCAGATCGATTGCAAATTGCATCATAAGGACAGTCTGTGCTTATACGACTATTGAACCCGCTAAGAGTTTACAAGAGAATAACAAGAGAATGTAATTAATGTCTCATTCTGGAAAACTTTTAAACGTACAGGAGAAAGATACCACGAAAACACATGAGTGGCTTATAAAACTTACTCTCACAAGAATTAGAAGGCCCACAACAGCACGTTTTCGAATAGATTCATTACGAAAAACCCCTAGCCGTAGTAAATGAAACGCAACTTGTTTCAGAAACCTATCGTTGTCACGGCTCATCAGAATAGCCCCATGTTGGGCAAACAAATTTTTAAACACGGGTAGGAAAGCTTTCCAAAACGGTAGGGGCTGACTACGCCCTAGAAACCCAGTTATGATGCTTGTAATGCAGTCAAGTCTTGAGTAATCCGTAGCAACAGCTTGGCCAGCTGTTGCCGCCATAAATTTCTCAACGATTTCGAGAAGTTGCAGCATGACTGCGGCGCTGAGATTCTCTTCCCACAACTCCTGAGAGACAAATACAATCAAAACAGGATCTAAAGATGATTCTGATAACAGGATCCATTTCGACTTTGAAAAACTCAAGATCTTTTCAAATTCCACGTGCTGGAAGCTCAACGACAAAACAAAAAGCGATTCTCACCAGTTTCTGCCGCAGCATAGGATGTAAGCTCTCTCTAAGAGGCCTACCTCCCCCTCTTCCTGCTGATTGAGCTTGAGCCAAAGCTTCACGCAATGAATGCGGCTGACTTGGACTGCTTGAGCTGTTTGAAATCGGACTTACCCTCTTCCAAAACGTGCTGCTGTCTGGACTCGCTTGTTGCACTAACCACTGAGCACCAGGAGAGCTCTTGGTGAGCTGCAAAACGTAAAAGAAACAACTTGAGGTACTGGTACACGTAGGATGTACTGGATTATCAATTGCCCAAATACATACGCGTAAATCATCAAGTACTAAACTTAACGAATTGAAAAAAAATTAAAAATTAAAAACATATCATGGCATGGATTCGAAGATGTATGAATAATTTGAATTGACCGAATTGGTAAGAGAAAGCAAAAGAAGAAATGAAGACAGAAAAGGGAAATGTCGAAATTCGGAGGCTAGACCACCCAAAGGCAATCCACGCACCCTGACATCCTGTCGTGAAGCTTCAGCAAGAAAATGATTGATTGCAGGAGATAGCTTCTCAGAATACTGAAGGGGCCCATCTCCTTGTTCGTTGGCGGGCATTGCACCCATCAAACCATCAGCTCCTGCTTTCTTATACTGCAGGAGTAAATCCGAAATCTAATGAGCGTGCACGACTAAATTGATCCAAGCAATACAAGTATTCAAACTTCAAGATTATATTTTCGATCAGCTTGCTTTTCTTTGACCATGATATTTGGCGTAACTGGAGCGATTATACATGAGGAGATAAAACATCAGATTATCATGGAAATTTCGCAAGACACCTGACTCCACTTTTAACTACCCAAATGCATTAAAAAGTTTTGATGATCTAAGAATTTTTAGATGTCGAGCTCTGCATACATTTAAGTGCTTGAAGCATATAGGTACAGTTGAGGACATCGTCAAAGCCTAACCTCAAACAGCTCCTGACATTCTTCGAGTAATTTAAAAAATAGCCTTGTTCGAGCAACATTTTGTTGCCAAGCCTTCATAAGAGAAGCATCATCCAAGAAGCGCAAAATGTGGAGCACACACACCAAAACTTCACGCTTCTCTGCCGGGCTCAAGGCATAGAATACTGGCATCTCATCCAAAATCTGTCAGGAACAGCCTCAACAAAGAATAAGCGTCTTCCAGGTATTGACTGTATCATTTAAAATCAGAAACTTGTCTGCGTGTCCAAGGATTTGACAACACACGAAGCTATTGCTAACACATTGCTATACCATCACGCTATGGTATGGATTTTGATATAGATGTCCAACCAGTACCCACTATATGCATTTTGGTAAAGCAGATTGGTACATATCTTCAACTTACTACCTATTATGATCGAATTATTATGATGTTACATGATAGTATAACACTACTTTTCAGCTTACCAGTCCAATCAAAGGAAAGTAACGTTGTGAAATATACAATTTGTCATCCAGTGTTTGATACCGAGCATCATACTCATGCTTGCACAAGAGTTGAACAAAAATCCGACATGCCTAGAGAGCACGCAATAAAGACAACAATGTATTAGATATCGTCAATGCAAGCACGCTGATAGTTCTGCCAACCCGTCTATGTAAGATAACAATAATAGACAACACGGAAGATAACATATGTTCAAAATTTCCAGAGGTCGTACACACATGCGTTATGTGTTATTTTTGTCACCGCAAAGCAAAGCAAACTAAAGACTGTAGTTCCCATTCTTGTAGGCCATTAACGTCCACAATGCTTACCTTTGCCTTCAAGGCTGGGTCTTCATGGTCGAAAGTGATAAATAGCTCCTGCATCAACATCGATGCCAAGTAATTCCTGCCATGTCCACATGTTAGTTCCAATCATACCAAAGCAACTCCTTTATTTACGCAACCAAATCAAAGAAAAATACAATAATTGCATTCAAACTATAAATCAACTTCAAGAGAACAAGGTATTAATAGAAAACATTAAAAAAATTGCAAGACAAAAAAATTATAGCTTGAAAGAAGTTCACTGTCGAGAAGCATACATTTGAGGCAGATCGAGGCATACACACCTCTCCGACGGATCTCTACCAGGCATTTCAACAAACAAGTCGTGGTCACAGATGATACGTAGAAAAGTAAGTTTGTACTCATGCATTGCTGATAGACAAACTCCAGAAAATTTGTTGAAGTAGAGCGCAACCTAAAAATACAATCGAAAGTCACTATATCATTGTGATAGTACTGTGATGTATGATTGCATTGGTTTGCATATCATACAAATATGCAAACCAAATCGATCATTACTTTTACCGGATATCAGATCATCAAATGCGCAAGAGAGATTCTTCATACTTAGTCAACAAGCATGTGCCTAGTTGAGATTGTCAAGACTTCACATGCTAAAATACTCTGCATAGACTTGCTCACTGAAATACTAGCGCAAGGAAAAGTTTATACGTTGCGCTGTTCAGCACGCTCAAAAATCATATAAACAACTACAACAAACCCAAATGTGCAGGTATTGAACCACTCTAAAAGAAGCAACAACAGAGCTTGCTGGTAGATTGACTCACTAAATCAAAAACTTGCCGTGGTTCAATTACAGAGAGAAGATCGTAGCAGAAGAAGCCCAAACTACTATTAAGTTTCTTGGCAAGAATCAAACCCTTCTTTCCTCGCTCCTGAACCTCCGTTAGCAAGCAATCATAAAGCTGCCCAATACTTTTAAAAACCTCATCATTGAGCTGCAGCGGCGGCAACTCTTCACCTGTGCAAAATCTTACAAATGCTTCAGAGAATCTCCATACAAGATATGATACCTCTGGTAAAGACAAAGTAGGGTTGATGGCATGGTTCATTTAATTCTGAGGCAAAGAAGTGGAAAACTTAGTAGATGATTTGATTTCAAATTTCAATCGATTAACCAGTCTCATAAACAAAGAGAAGGCAATGATTGAGAATAAACCTGGAGGAACGGCCTCACAGTAGGACCGAGACTGTTCAAGTGCCATTGACTTTACGATCAACTCCAGGAAGAACCAAGCCATTGAGAGGACATCGTCATATACAGGTCCGACTCTATACCCTTTAGCCTGTGCCATATTAACACTGTTTAAAATATAATAATCGTCATTATCATCATAAATAGATGAATAAATAAGTAAATGAATAAAAGGCCACCTAAGGGCACGTCCTCAAACAATCCTAAAAAATTACATTTATTGGGTTTGAAACCATACCTTACTGCGGGCAAGACTACGCCAAACACTGCAGAGACCGGGATACACTGGATCATGGCGCCCACCAAAGTCATCGAAAGCAAAGTCTAAATAATGAACAAGGTAACGATTGCGTTCAGCGCCATCGGATGTCTCTGCTTGTACCCTGCTAATAAGGTAACAATCATGAGATCAACGTAATAAAAAGAGCACCAAAACGCGGCAGTGATTGATACAACTTTGGACTAATGGTTGAGAAGACCTCGCACCTGGAGATTATACAGACCATTGATCGGAACGCAGCAACCTAGACAAGAAATTGAATAGTAACAATTATAACATTGTCAACAGAAGATAGAGATTATCTAATCAAATAATATAAGAACATTCATGGACCTAAAAATAACCCTGGAATAAGAAATCCCTTGCTAGCGTTCAGATAATAAATACGATGTACTAGAATGCGTCTCAAAGTGAAATGGCTAGATGAACCACTACCATACCAAGCACAGCTAAAGCATTATCTACAAGGTTTCCAGGTGTTCTGCAGGAGAATAAATAAATAAATAAATTATAAGGATAATTGGGAGGAAGGTTTAGAAGACACAAAATACCTGCAACGTTTCTCCCCCATCACCAATCATGCGGAGTAGCATATTCAGACACGGTTGAAGAAACTGTAGCATAGCAGATGCTTCGACATGCTTCAATGCATTGATTGCCTACAATAGTGCTTACTGACAAAGTTAGTAAATGATAAAGCACTTCGACAACGTCTCAAATCCAACAGTGATTGGCAGGATCATCTCGAACATCTCAAATAAATAATAAATTTAAGAATCGTCGAACACAGGTACATAGACAATGCATCTCCTTTAGTGAAACTTTTTCGAGTTCCGACAATTTCGAAAAAAACACGACGTAGAAAAGAGGAGCGACATAAAAGCTTCTACGTCAAGACCGTTGCGACGCATTTAAGGATAAATTTCAGAGAGTTGAATACCTCCATCAGTTCATTACCCCAGGGACTTGTCCGCAATACATGGCGATCATACTCAGAAAAAAAATCCCGTATCCTTTCATTTACAGGGTAAAGAGATGAGCATAGACGAGAGCGCAGTTTAAATACTGTTCTACCATCATCAAGATATTCCAACCTATCCTGTACCAATCAAAGAAATTTTTTGTCAAGCCACAATACTAGAACAGATTAGATATTGCAGTAAACTCGTGTATTTGCAAGGCAAATGTAATTGGGAGATTGAGCAAGATACTCTATGAAAAGCGTGGCCCGACTAACCTTCACATTATCTAGTAAATAGTTCGGATATAATTCCCTGGCGATTGGCAGAGTGCCGTCTAACCGAATAACCCTAAAGCCACAATATCATGGAACAAGGTAAGCAAGATACGTGTATACTGATTAACAGTTATATGCTGAATACTATATTTTATGTTTAGTAGTACTGACACACTGTCTAATAACCAAAACATGCTAAAATGTAAGACTTAATCGAAAAGATGTATGAAAGCTCAAAGATAAACATATGTGCAGAGTCCTCGCATACTAACAAAGGTAAAGTGAAAAGCACAACTGGGTATACATAATCAAAATGCCAACTGGTGCCACAATGTCAGGAATGACGATTCAGGCACTCTGCTCGTAGAACATACTGACTGTCGTTGCAAAGTGAGACAAGGAAACTTACTGAGCCGCGAACAAGAGAGGAAGAACAGCGTATCCTACAACCACCTGCATTAGAGTCAAATTGAAGTACTGGTCAATCACTGCAAGTGGATTGACTATTTACAGAAAGAGAATAACATATATAGAAGGGAATATTAACCAGACAAAAGACTTCATCTGCTTCCAAAAGGTCGAGGATTTAGGTGATAAAGCAAAATAACTAAGTTTAATTGGTCCGAGAAATTAAAACAAAAAAATGGTGATATTGCCGAAGATAAGATTAAAGAGCAGAAAGTATCGTACTGGCTTTGGAGCTTCCAATTTCATCTGAAGATCCACATGGAAGAAAGTGAAGAGAAGGTGGTGTTCTCGTGACAATTTGGCAGGGAGTTGGACTTTGAATTCATCGTGAAAATGCACATTCTTAGTATTGGCATCAATCTGAGAGTGTGCATACTTCTGCATTGAGCTATCTGCATCCCTTGGATACAGAGCCTGTGATAACCATAAACAATTTGTCAAAAGCATCTAGGTAGAGATTACATCAAGCATCAAGAAGCTCTAACAGCTATCACATTTAAACAATGGAATCGAATTCCCTTCATTAATAGAAACCATACCTCGAGAGGTGGCTTCCGAATATCACTGTCATCGTTTCTGAGCTCTATCCGAATGAAGAGATTTCGCTTCCGATTAAGGTTCACAGATTGAGGATAAACATACAGACAATGCAATAGTTGAGGCAATGGCTCAGGTTTCAGACCAAGTCGAAATTCAACAGCGCGAAACTGTCACACCCACAATGAGGAAACTCATGATTAAATGTCATCACCTTCTAACTTTGCCGCACGGATCACCAACCAAATGGTTCCTCTGTTTACACTTACTCCAAGATTCCTCAATAACTGCTTTTAGAAGAATGTGATGGAAGACTAAAGATCCTTCATTGATTCATAGGAATGTACCCTTCTAAGAAAGTAATCACATTAATGCTACGTTACATTGGGTATTTGAATGAAGAAGACTGCTGGATATTGCGACAACGTACCTCTGACCGCCCCAACTCAAGACTACTTCCACTGCTTGAATGAAGTTCACGATGCACAGGGCTGCCCTTCTGATGTCCATTATACAACGCCTTCGTGAACTCTAGCCCTTGAGTAGAACGCCCTGATAATGAAGCTCCCCCTATTGAACGGGAATCAGCATCGTAGGAGCCGTTACCGAAGCTGCCACACTCAGAGATGCAGTCCGCCTCGTGATCATCATTGGACAGCCTTTCAATCTCAAGCCGTAGAGTTGCCTTCATTGGCTTGTGTACTTTGCGCTTAGGGTCCTGAACAAAAGAATATTTGATTAAACCGATAAAACTTCTATTCACCTCAAAACCCAGGGTCACTAGAATGTACGAACCTTGAACAATGATTAATACGAGGGACCCCGCTTCACGACTGACGCTACATCTAATGATCTTTAATAAGCACATTACTGATGTGTGTACGACTGCTCCATCCACCTTATGCTAGATGAAGTGTGAATATAAAGCCCACCTGAAGCATCTCTTCTGTATAATTCTCTTTTACACGATGAAGCCCTGGTACATCAACCAGAACTGGGACACTAGCAGATTCGGTCTTGGAGTCAGCAATCAACTTGCCATCTGAATCAAGTGATGCCTCCATAAGAGCCGACCCCAAAATGCCCGGCGGCAGAGGACTGCTTGTTGGAGATGACGAGAAACCCCCCACACCTCCAGTTATATTAGCATCAAAAAGTGGTATAGTCGACCAAGAGAAAGGTTCGCGAAACGGCATCACTCTTGCCCATACTTGCAATTTTTGCTTTTCTCTTTGAGTCAAATGTACCTTCAAACAACAAAACATACTATTATTTATTTGATGAAGATCAATGTTCAATCTATTTAGATTCGGAACAAAGTTTAAAACGTCCACGTAAGAAAGAGCACTATTAGGTAGCGGATTGAAGCAGATCATTTTTCTTTGAAAAGCACAGAGACTACAAACGATTTAATGACATTATTCCAAAGGTCCTTATCAACAACGCTGTACAACATGGAAGCGCAAACACACAAGACAACTTCGTATGTTCAATATGTAAGCTAGGCTCAAACCATGGAGACAAGAAAAATTGATAGTGCAGACCAGAGCGACCATCTCTGTCATTCTGAAGGATTCATTAATTGAGTTCCATCATTATGAGAATCAGGAACTACGGTTAACAGAAGAAGCAATATTCGATGTTTTCACCAACTTCAAACGCCACAAAGCAAACTCACAGGCTCTTTACGCGTATAGACAGAAGGAGTAACACCTCCTTCTTCTGTGACATGTTTCTCAAGCTGCACCAACAAGCAGATCGCTGGTGACGGTGCCTCAAGCGAGAAAATAGCTTTCCGTTGATAGCCACTAGCCTCCTGTAAAGACAATATATAAAAACCAACCAATTTGAGTGAACGTATCAAAATGATGATCACAGCATTGAAGTTTCAAAAAGATAAACAATACAACCTCACTACAAGAACAAAAATTATAATGCACTCTTACATCTTGAAACTCTGCTGGTAAACATCGGAAGTGAAAATCCTCCGACAGTTTTTCTCGCTTTTCCCGGTGATACAAACACACCGTACCATACCACGGCTCTGTATTAAGCCACATTAGATTATTGTGGTAATCAAAATCCACAAATTCAAAACCGAATAGAATTCGATGTTGTACTAAATCAGAGCGATGAGCAACGAAGCCTTTGTAATGGAATCTTACCAACAAGACCAGCCTGAATATTTAGAGACACAACCTTCACAGAAATCCTCAGCCCGCCACTGCATACATCGAGTCGCAGAGTTATTGTAGTGTAACTTAAGGCGCGTAAAGGGTCAGACCATGTAATTCAGATACACGTCGACAAGAAACATAACTCAGCACACAGAATATACAAGGTTTCCCTGCGTCAAGTCTGCAGACTTGTGAGCAACACGGTCACAAAATATATATAGCTCAAACAAGTTCAATAATAAGCGCAGATGACCTTGGTGATAGTGCTGATGGAATCTCAGGTGTCCTTTGACCATATACAGATCCCCTCGTTGCACGCCAATTGAAGACTGGCTCATATGGAGGGAGGGGAGCTCCACCATAGTGCTGCATCCATAACGCAAAACTTTTGCGTTAGGAAAATCGACAAACAATACTTGAATCATCCCAAAAGGTCTAGGCACCCTTACACAACCGCATACCAGTTTCATGAGTTTCCAAAATTCTCCGACCAAAAGTTTACAAGAATATATTAACGTTGGCAATAACAACAAGCAGAGCCGTAAGAAGTAGCGCACACAATAAACAAACTTTTGAAGATAAGTTTTTTGTAGTAGTGAACAACAACGTTCCCCATAATTAGGCATTGAATTTGTAATTTCGTTCATAACTCCCACTACTACCACACATATGCTTAGTATAAACAAAATCGAATATCAGTATACTTCCAAAGTTGGGTGAGAGGGAAATGACTTGGCCATTAGAACCTTCGGTGCTTTAGAAACAGTTGAATCTGGAACATCACTTGCTGTTGACCTTCCAGAAAATCGACCAGAAAATAATCCTTGAGAAAACCTTCCTGAAGTTGTCGGATCTTCATCATTCGTGGCATCCCCATGCCTTCCAAGTCTTATATTTGAAAGGCGTAACTCTATAATCATAAAGTATATGTGAAACAGGGTATTGGAACTGCGCATCAAGTACATTACGGCAACCCAAAAACCAAAAAGAAAAAACCATCCAGTGAAATGAGAAACAAGCTGAAATTAAGCGTTCCTGCCTGTGACGTTCTAATCTAGCATCGCTATCTTCCCTAACGGCCCTATATTATGCTCCTACAGAAATGAGATAGTCAATACATAGAACACTGACCTGTCTCTACATCAGTGTCAGGCCCTTCAAAGATCTGGTTCTCAAACGTAGGGGGTGGCACACTTTCATAGCGTCCATACTTAAGTTCATCCTTTACCCATTCTGCAGTGTAGCTTAGAAGCAGCTCCTTTAAATGTGGCCATGGCTCCAAATTCCCATTTGACTGAAAGAGTTGACAGATGTGAAACAGCAGCATTGACGGAAGGGAAACAAGTCAGAACCTGTAAGGGTGTGTACTCAAATAAAAGACAGAAGTGACGCTGCTCAAACTAGGGATGGCATCAAGATATCTGTCAAACAGCAAGCTTGCAGAGAAGCCTACAAATGATCACTATACAACACAAATAGATGACATATTAAACCTACAAGCACGTCGAGAAACAAATCACGAAGCTCACCAAGAGCTCGAGGTCTGTTGACTGCAAAGAGTAAGGATGTGGGATACGCCTAAACCGATGCCCATTCAGGGCAATCTCACCCATCCCCTGCTAACAGATCCAAATGGGGTCATGGTTAGTCAGAATGTTGAAAATTGCCAGTATTTGATAACAAAATAATTGAACACAATCTTAGTCTTGAAAATGGAGGATACATTTTGTATATGCACGTTAGTAAACTAAGGTACCTACTTGATTGCTCGGACGTGGTTCAAAACTGCTCCAGGTTTATAACCCAGCTCGCATCCTTCACAGTCCTCTCTCTTTCCACTTGGTCCCCATAACCAAACTTTGCCCCTGGGTCATATTCAAGAGACTCGCAATCAAGTGTCCGCGACGGGAATCATAAGAGAGTGTGCCGCCAAATTGATGCCCAGGCTGACGAGATGAAGTCCATCACCGGATCCACTACGCTGGATAGGTTTTGAACCATAACCTACTGATTCAGCAGTGACCAACTTCTCTTCGCATTCAGCCTTCAAATGCCAAAGGTCTGAGATGTGTGCATGAATCCTAGAGTGCGCTGAATCACTGGTATATCGCACCGTAGAAAGCAACTGAGCAGAATCAGTGAGTTTGAAATAATATTCCCCTGGCAAAGATGTTTTGTCCCCATGTCGAAATTTCTTCACCTATTCCTTTGTCGATACGATGAGCATTTTGGGAGCATTGCCTTCAGCAATCCATCCACGCACTCTACAAGAAGAAATATCCACTACACATCGACAGTTCCCTCCTGCACAAAAGTAGCAGCCCTTGTCTCAACAATATGTTCTTGATCCTAAAAGCAAACCAGACTTGATAAAATGTAATATAGTCAGGTAAATAAGACCTGTAGTGAAAATTGAGATGACTCGCACACATTAACTTCTAGTGTTCCTCCGAAATAAATCAAGAAATTTCATTCCAATGAGCAAATAATCCGAAACAGAGACTAGAACGCATAAGATTGCTACATACACAAGACCTTAGGGCTACAGTAAGTTTTTCCTTTTGCCTGTTCTGATGCAATGCATTTGACTCGGAATTAATACGCTTAGACAAGGGTGCACGAAGGTGCCGTCAAGGAACAAAAAGCCTTAGAATGAAAATACAGCGCGAGTACTCGACAACTTAAACAATTTCCTCAACTCATCCATAGAAATGTGACGCCTGTTAGAGGAGACACCGGTCGCCACCTTCGAAAAGAACAGAAAACATGCGCTGGAATGAACAAAAAGAAAATAAAAAAAAACGCCGGGCTGAATTGGATTAATTCCAGATGACAAGACTCCGTCAAATTCTCTTCAGATTCCTTTAGGTCATTTGCGTCAAGATTGAGCTATCAATAACTTTGAGAGAAACTTTGAATAAATCAATGCAACTAATGCAATTAAGCTATCGCACAGTCAAAGACAAGCGGGGTGATTAAAAAGCGAAAACGATCCCTAGTATCTAGATCAAAGAGGCCAAAGAGAGTCCAAAACAGTAGTGTGAGGTATAAGGTTACTTGAAACACAACCCTGATGACAATAGCAGCTCCCACTCCTACGTACACAACAATTTCGTGATCACCAATACGAAAATATTGGCGGACCTCAACCTTAAAGCAACAAACTAATGCACTTCATTCAAAACAAAACAAAACAAAACAAAACAAAACAAAAAAAAAAAAAAAAAAAAAAAAAAAAAAAAAAAAATCCAAAACAGCAATACATGAGTCAAAGCCTAAGGCTCGAGCAACACTGAACAGGAACCCTAACTATCTAATGAAAATACACGGCCTTCGAAAACATCATACAGTCCTTCACGCATCCGACAAGCCCCTCAACACCGGCGGGGAGGGAAATATACATACATATATATATATATATATATATATATATATATAAGTAAAACAGCCTCCCCATTTCCGTCCATGGTTCCAATGCATCACACCAAAAAATACGACCATACTAACACACACCTTGCTCCCCGCTTCAATAAACCGCTCACACAAGAATGAAGCCTCTCCCACATTCCCATCCTCGCGAAGCGCCAATGATTCTCTTCTCAGCACCCGGAGCAGCAGCATTGGTGGAAGCGACCTCAACTGCAATGCGACGCTAATGCTGCGGCGTCACGGGAAGACGACGCAGATCGGTGGCAGCTGGAAGGGGAAGTTAAAATTGCGAGGAGAGGCAGCCGTCCTTCCTTGCCTGGTATGGTACAGCGTATCTCCTCCTCCCTCTCCTGTGTCAATGGCGTGGGTGCGTGCGAGCGAGCGAGCTCGTCTCTCTCTCTCCCCCGCCCCGCGTCGCCATGCCTCGCTCGCTGCGAACCTCCTTCCCTACCCTCCTCCCTGGCCCCTCGATTCTCTGACGTGGATCACTTCAGGACTTGGATTTCCTTCCATGATCCGTTTCACACGGAGCAATTACTGTGCCCGCCATTTTCGGTTCCTACGGGACTTCGTGGTCGTGATTATTTGTTTTTAAGTTTGACAATATTTCATGTGCTTTAATTAGTGAATACAAATCCTATGCAGTTATTATTTCTTTGACTGTGCGATAGCTTAATTGCATTGCTTTTTATGGTTGGTATTTGATGATGATGATGATAATAATATTAATATTAATAATTCTAAATTTTGAGCTTAAAATTTAATATTGGTATTAATAAAAAGTAAGTGAGAAAAGAAGAGAGAAATGTCTACAGAGTTAATAAATTTCTACACCAATGAATTGTTCAAAATTTATTTGAAGAAAAAGTAAATATTCTCTTGTAGATTAAATTTCTTTTTCAATAATGTTTTACACTAGTAGTGATGTTTTTAGACTGTTGAGAAATTTGTATGGATTGTAATAGAATGGTATATTCCATAATATAATTATTTAGCAATTTCTTAAATTATTCTCTTGATAATATTTCAAGCATGCTTTATTGGCTTTGATGACGATTCTGCACACACAGCTTTAATGCTGAATTCCCTTCAAAATATTAATTGACAAGTGTCTTCAAGAACATATATATATATATATATATATGTATATTTGAAATTTTGGGTATAAGGTTTTTAAGCCTACATATCATGTCATATCTCATCAGTTTTATTTTACATATTACCAATCTTTAGGGTTTAGGGTTTATGTTCTAGAAGGAGCTCCTTCTTTTAAGAGTGAGCATTTAATTTCATTAGCTTGGCAAATTTGTGCACGATCAATGCAAAAGTTGAAGATTATGCATTGAAGCACTTCATCATTTTGTTCCAACGTACCAGATAGAGGAGAGTAGGGTGAGAGCGAACCTGCAGCTAGAGCTGCAATCGTACCAATGGCATAGCCAAAACCCACAAATTGAATGTACTTGTTTCTTCTAGAAAACGTGCCCTCATTGTCATGTCCCATTACCTTCCGATGATCAAAGCAGATCACCAGGGACAAAAGAATCCCTGGACTGGCCTGCAACCACATGCCCCAACTTCACCATCAATGGAAACAAATAATAATGTTCAATCTCTACCGACATAACCTTGTCTCACTGTCATTCATCTGATGTTCGAGCTCGGGCAAATAGCCTTGGGATTCAGATAGTGGCAAAGCGCCTCATGCACGTGAAACTGGTAAGGTCAATAAGATTGTGTTCCTGTAAGCAACTAAATCAATTCTCTGAGAACAAGAGCAACGTGAAAGTAAGAATTTACCGTATCACCAAGATCGATCATAAGAAACTGGCCATCAAACACTCCAACGGACGCACCCCAGAACTAATCATAGGGGTCGGGGGAAAAGAAGCTTTTAATGCAAGTCCAGATGCTCGGCGACGATCTCAGTGATGATCATGGACACCGAGGAAAGAGATAGAACATGATGAGCATTAAGCAAGAACTTGTAATGGGAATGAGTAACGCTTGTGTGGTATCGAGTGTAACCGCCACTACAGACTGATTTCTTTCTCCAGCATGGTCCCGTTGCTTCTCACCTTCCTTCTCAATTGGTAGACACAGATGAGCGGAAGCCGTTACCACAGTCACTCTAGTTTTGAAAAACTCTAGAAACGCAGGTTTGAGCAAGTGAACTAGCCTTGATAGTTCCATATTTTCGTAGTGGTATCAGCTGCCTAGGGAGTATTTCCTTGCTGTCCAAATTGCATTGCTGCAGAAGGAGCAAAGTTCGTGGAACATCAGGTTCTAGTGGCAGTCACACTGCATTATCAGAATGTTGCTAACATTCAGTATGCTTCAATGTGAAGGGAGGAAGAAAGACAGCTCCTTTTGAGACTTAAAGATTAGAATCTGTTAGAGTGACCGAAATGGCCGACAACGAAGGGCCAAGATGGCCAAGTCTGGTGGAAGAATGTAATCTTGTCATCTACAGCATTGTAGGCCGAGCAGCCACAGAACGTGAACCTGTAGTCACAGAAACAACAAAGTGGTTACACAATTCAAGAGCATATTGTAGAAGTTTCATAAATGGATTAGTTGGAATCCTTCGTAATCATATTTCTTACGTGCGATCGGGTTCAGTTAACATCAAAATGAGCAATTAAATATGTAGCCCACCAGTTCTAATAAACCCTGCTCAACACAATTTTCACGATGATTCGCCAAGCCTGAAATATCAATGCTAAGAATTTAGCTATCGAGCTCATGCAAGCTCTGATATTCCTACACAAGCGTATTAAATGGAACGTTTCTGCGCAACGGTTTCACTGTGTTACGTGGGTAGCAGGGAGCAACGCCAAGGCTGATTTCAACCGCTTTACAGTAACTGCAGCAAGTCCTACTTCTACACAAGTAGGAATTCTCCAATTGGAAAGAACAATTTCACTTTTTTTTTCTTTGGCAGTTGCAACAGATAAATAAATCAGGAACTCGTGCACCAAAGGTCATAGTGCCTGTGTAGAAATTCAAAATTACAGCGGATTCGCTAACCATCACCGACTTGGTTCCGGCTACGAGATCAGCAAAATGAGCTCGCTTTCTACCTTTTTGTCTACGAGATTGACCTCCTAAATTCCCACACACAACACCACATCACAGTCTCAAACTTTGACGCCATACTTTCCCAGTAACGCTACATCTCGCAAGAAAGCAATTCCCTCAAAAACTAGGTTCTGTACCAACACTGCATGCACCAGAAGCTTGCTCCTCAGCCACAACCACTGAGGATACACAACAGCTATGCACACTGCAAACCCCCGCCAGTGTCGGAGGAAGGAAGAAATCTTCGACTCTTGCCGTTCATAAAAGATCCGATATCTATCATCCGCCGACTCAGCAGACGGGTCCAACGCGCCTGACCCCGATCCTCCAAAATGACGCTCCCCAGAAAAATCACACTTAGATGTAATTCAGATCCTGGAAAGCAGGAACACTTTGAGTTGACATCAAATAGTGGGTACCGAACTTTTCCCCCATTGCACTAGCGGAGATACTGGCTTCGCAGCGATGTGGTGATATTCTCTATGAATAGATTAGTCTTCAAAATTCAGGTCTCCAGTACTCTTTCCGCAAGACGCAGTGCAAGTTGGGGACAATCTGTTGCCCCTGTTGATGTCCTGGAATCGAATGGGAAGGCACGAGAGCACTGACTTGACGAAGTGTCGCAGTGACTTGTGTCCCTCCAGTGGCCTCTCTCTCTCTCTCTCTCTCTCTTCCGCTCTCTACATGAATTTATTGCAGACTTGCTGTAATACTTTGTGTGGGTTGGTTCCAGCCATTTGGTTCTAGGTACCTCTTCGATAGTGTCAACGATCTTGCGTCTGGTGACTACAGGAGATGTATTAAATCTTCTGTTGCTTAGTCAAGCTTTCGGACCTGCGATTCAAGGAGGGCAGCGCAGTGCCATTTAAGCTCATTGACTACGCTATATATCATATGAGGTGCTATCATGTAGCTTACTGTTCAGAATGTCAGGAAGTTGTTAGGTCTTTATAGAGAAGCAATCGGAAGTTGTATCAAAACAGACAGCATTGCATCAAGAATATCACATTGAAAACTTCCCCGAAGGAAGTTTTCACTTAGCTCTGATACCAATGTAATACTCCAAAACTTCCCCGAAGCCTTGGGTATTTTCGTCACCTGCACCCAACCACCCCTCCCGGATTAGCAGCTTCCTACTTACCTTCCGCATAGTAGTTGAGTCAGATGATCCTTCACTTGACGTGGCCTCTTGGTCCCCTGTACCGGGGAGTCTCTCACCGGCACCCGGGACCAAGGTCACTTCTTGGTGAGAGGGGAGACTGTCGTCTCCCTCCCAGTGTTAGTCCTTTCCAGGGCGCCCCGCGCCCTGGCTAACACCCCCATGGCACACTGGAAGCCAACCCAGCTGCCCCCCGACGCCCTGCGACGCGGTGGGGCCAAGGGAGTCCTCGCGAGCCTTCATGCTCGCGCGATCTCCCTCCCAAGTCATCATCTCCAAGTGCCCTGTGGGTCACTCGGAGGACTTGTCCTTACTTCTTAGGCCTTACTCACAATCACCACCCTATGGTGACCCCTTTTTGTGAGTCGCCTCCTAGCCACAACCTTTAGGGAGGTGACATTCTCCCCTACTTTGAACGTTAATGTCCGCATTAACACCAGTGTGCTAGGTAACTTGTTTATAGTCCTTCCCATTGGACTCCTTTTTGTCGAGAAGTCGCCACACCTCTCTTAGCGTACGCACACTTCTGTGCTAACGTGGGAGAATTCTTTCTTGTCACTTCTCCCAGCTCTTCTTTCTACCTCCGTTAGTTTGGTTTCCCTTCCAAAGCCCCGATCCAACTGGGTGTGCAATGAGCGGTTGCCGACTGTCAGGTCCGCATCAAGACTCGCCCTGCCTTGATCCTTGTGTTTCTTTCGGACGCGAGTAGCTACTTTGCGCAGAGTTTTCACTCATCACAAGCTAATCCTAATAAGGCCGGATTAACAGTCTCGCCCCCGTCCCGAGCGAGCTCTCTTACTTTACTTCGAGAGCTGACTTAGTGGCGCTCCTCCTTTCGATTACTTCCACTAACTTCGATCTTCAACTGACCTCATCTCCAACTGGGATATTGGTTTCGCATTGCTAGCCTCTCTGTTCATACTCGTTGTGCTTGTGGGCCACGCATTCTCCCCCACTTTGGAGGCGCGATGTCCTCATCGTCTCAGAGGTTTTCGTTTAATGCTCCATTTTCCTTTGTCTGCGTCACTCACTCTTGCCTCATAGGCGTTAATGAGTGCCTTCACATGTTTCAGATAGCTGGCAAATACCCACTGGTATTCCGTAACCGGAAACCCCTCAAAGGTGCATTGATACACCAGGCCCTATTCCCGTTTTTTCTTCCCTACAATTCCATTGACTTGCCCCAACTTCTTGTCCCAAATTCCGTATGATGGCTCTGGCCTCAATACTTGTTCGGGGTGGAGGTTGTCCTTGTCCTTGGAGAATTTCTTCAACCCGGACAAGTGGAATACGGGATGGAACCTGCCTTTCTTTGGGATATCAATCAGGTATACATCCTTATGTATAACCTTCATCACCTTGTAAGGTCCTGCCCACTTCTATACCCATTTATGTGACAAGGAATTGAGGATTGGCAAGTTCGTGGTGTTTAACCACACCATGTCTCCTACTTTGTGCACAACCTCGCGCCGGTGTTTATCCGCCGCAAGTTTGTATTTCTTCTGAGCGCGCTCCAGAAAGTAAGTTGCTTTCTTTTGAATGTGTTCTCGCTCGGAGACCCACTTGGCCACTTCCTCAGAAAAGAAGGTGGACGGGGAATCCTCCTCCTTCTTGGCTAGCACTAGGTCAGTTGGTTTTAATGCATCAAACCCGTGAGCTACTTTAAACGGACTCATGCCGATGCTTGTTGAGTGGGTGGTGTTGTAGCAGAACTCCGCTTGTGGTAACACATTCACCCAATCATCGTGATCCGCCGCTATGTAATTTCTCAAGTACATGTTGAGAGTAGCGTTCACGCGCTCGGTTTGACCATCTCCTTGCGGATGAAACGTGGTTGTTAGAATGAGTTTGGTTCCCGACTTGCTCATCAGGTGCTGCCAAAAGGCAGTCAGGAACTGTGCACCCCTATCACTCACTATGTCTTCTGGATAGCCCATTTTGCATATCCAATGTTCATAGAAGAGCCGCGCCGTTGCTTCGGCGCCATCACCCCATTTCGTCGGGATGAATCTAGCTTGCTTGCTAAACCTATCGACAACCACGAAGATGACGTCATATCCCTGCACCACTGGCAAAGAAGTCATGAAATCCATTGAAAGACACCCGTAAGGTGCTTTCGGTATAGGTAAAGGACTTAGCAAGCCCATCGTCCTTTGAGTGTTTGCCTTGTTCGTTTGGCACTTGGCGCATGTGGACACATACTTCTCCACATCTCCTTTGAGATTCGGCCAATAATACTTTTTGGACAACTCCTTCGTTGTCACTAGCACTCCGCTGTGTCCGCTGTGTCCCGCTCCTCGCGCGTCATGGAACTCCCTCATCATCCTCCTCAGCAGGCTTCCCTCGGGGAAGTGAAAACTCGGTGAGCTAAGTGACTAAATTCGGCAACCATAGAGCAAGTGGTATTGTAAGAAAGGAAGAGGATGAATGATCAGTGACGAATCAGTCAGACTTGCCTTGAATTCAAAGTTCAGTCAATAGAGCATTGAATTTGAGCCGGCCCAGCGACTTTTGAATTCCTCTCGCTTTTTCCTGCTGATAGAATTAAAGAGTTATCGTTTCAAGCACTCGATATGGCAGCTCGTACCGTATGCTGTTCGGCTGTAATAGTTGGAACAAGCATTGGAACAAGTGTTAAGCGTGAGGCGATTGGGACGACTCTCGCCTCTAGAAACTTTGCGGGCTTGGAGATGATGCCATCGCTGAGACAATCGTCTTTCGGTATGTAGGCGATGCCGGTAGACACATCGCCATTGCCGGATTTGGAAGTAAGCTCATTCGATCTGCAATTGAGTATGTATGCCGTCATACATGTTTGGAAATGTGATTGCGCTTGCCTGAGCCAGTCACGTTCATTTCAAATTGTGGTGCCTGTAATATCTTACATTAGCATGGCGTGTCATTCCATGATATTGCACTTCCCCTGCGTCATTACCCGGAGGTATATGGTTTTTGAACCCTTAATTTTCACGCTAAGAACTTGTAACTTCATTTTTTCTGAGTTGCAGGCAATGGATCGGAGAGGGCAAGAATGTTTAGGAAGCCTACTGGGTAGCTAGTGATTAGACTACGAGATAACTAGCCTTCAACAAAGTTGGTGTCCAGGTCCATGACGAGGTAAGTCCCTCAGAATGCAACGTCTGTTTTTTTTTTGTGAGGTTTATGGAATGGTCCTGCAGGAACAGATGTAGCATCAAGGCTGTCGCCTGTATTGCTTCATGCAAATCATGAATGAATTGGAGTTTCTTCTAATGAAGAATATGAATGCTATTTGTGAAAGTGACGATACAAGATGGAGTCATTGTAGGAAGCCGTGAGTGTTCAATTGACGTTGAATGACCCCCGACTGTACTCCCAAATGATATTGTTTGGTTTGGAGCAGATTAGCTGCACGAGATTCGCCACAAACAGGTGGACTGCTGACCTACAAAATTTCAGAGTAGAGCTAAAATTGCAACGGGTCTTTCAAGACTTCCCTCGAGAAAGATGCACTACTCGAACTAGTGAAACCCTGCTTGGCAATCTATCTGTGACCTCCGAATAACGACCTGTTCTACTAAATAACAGAAAAACAAACTCTCACATGAAAAGGATTCAAAAAGGTCAGCCCGTGCTCCACAATGCACCAGGCAAATATAGTGTTTCTCTCCTCCAAAGGTGCTTCAGTTGAGCCAGCTGCAGATAGTTTGATTTTGCAGTTAGTTTGTTTCATCCTCAACTGAAAACTTGAAAAGGCCTTAGTGCTGTACAGATTCATATCAAGGCGCCGATTGTTCCTTAAATCATCGGTCTGTGGCTCAATGTGATGGACAAGGTCTTCGGAGAGGTCTTAAGACGTATGAAGAGATACTCTCATACGTGTAGAAAAGATCAAGGAGCACATGTCGAAGATAGAAGATAGCTCCCGCACGGATCATCTGAAGTGGCGTAAAGATACAGAGCAAGTGGGGGAGCAACTCCACGCCTTTGGTGACAACATACAACAGATAGAGTAACTAAGTTTTCCACGCTTTTCCACTCAACCAAAAACCTGAAAAATCTCACCAGTAAAAGCAACGCATCCGATTCTCAATTTTGTTACGGCACACACCTAGATATAGCGCAATAATCTATGATTCTAAACGGCACAGAAACCTGAAACATTCCTCTCACAGACGAGCCACGCGTGCTGTCAGATAGCCTCGTACCTAATTCTCACACAATGTGAGTCAAGTGAGCAAACCATCAGCTTGCATGACAAGTTTTTCGAGGTGCGGTCTGAACTGGAGATGGCGAAACGGATACGGCTCAAAGCGTCAGAAACAGCAATATGAGGCACATCCAGCAGCACAAGGCAAAGCCATTCGTAAGTCACCGCAAGGCCAAGGTATCCTCGACTCCAACAGAAAACAAAAGGAGAAAAACAATGCAAGCACAGCCTAATAATACAAAACAAAAAAATATGTAAATATATAAAAACAACGTCATTCGGTGTCATTTTCAATTGTTTATTTTTTCTGCACAACCTGAAGGAGAGAATGAAAGTGTAAGTGGAGGATGCGAAGCTGTTGAAAGCAAAGATTCACAACAACCATGTCAAGAGGAAAATGCAGGCTGCAAAAACACTCGGTGATGAAGCGCAGGGGCTGAAAGGTGACGAGTGGGTCACCGTCCCCTTTGGATCTGAGCTGGCAGTGCTAACCTGGCACATCATGCTCCAAGCAGCACTGCCTGATTTGGTTTAGATGCTATTTTTTGTGACATGGAACTTGAAGCACCCTCGGATTCTTCAATTATAATTCCACCTAGTAACTAATATAACTAACCAATTATCATTACTGGTGACATTATCAGTTACTACGCGGTGGTACGTTGAAAAGTAAAAGGTACGAGAGCGCGGGCTTGGGGTTCAGTAGTCGGGGGGGAGCTTTAGTGTCCAGGTCCAGGTGTCAAGACACGCGTTGCAACCCCACAAGGGAGGGACTCTGTGTAGAAAAGCAAGCCTTTAAGGTGGTGGAAGTACTTTTTAGGGCTAGGCTTCCAGATGGTTCTTAGGAGACCGGCTTTGGATTTCAATAGGCCACTATTGTGTGCAGGGCCTCGCCATTGCTTAACTTTGTGCGAGTTAAGCTTTGATCGTGTTCTCGGATCGTCGTCAGCTCGCGCCGTGGTGGAGAGGTTTTCTCTACCCAAGCTTTGTTTTCAGCAATTCTGGTGAGTCCGTGAGGTGGATATTAGGTGTTTTTTGTGAGGTAGCGAGTAATTGATTGTTGAGCTTGGATATTGCGAAGGAGAGGAAGGAGAAGAATCGAGAGAGTAGCGATGTTGATCAGATTGAGGAGTCGGGATGGGTTGGAGCGGGTAACGTTAGCGAACAACGCGACGGTGGGGGATCTACAGGCGGCGATAGCGGAGAATCTGAATGTGCCCGTGAGCAGCCAGCTGCTGTCAAGGAACCAGGCTCTGTTGCTGAGCAAGGATCCCGTGAATGGGAAGGAGTTTGCGGACATGCAGGACTCGGGAGCGACGTTGTCGTCGTTGGGAATTGCGCATGGGAGTTTGTTGTACTTGTTTTACAGTGGGAATAGAGTGGTGAAGGGACCTCAAGTGACGCCGTTTGGGGCGTTTGGGAGGAAGATGACCGTGGAGGATTTGATTGCCCGGCAGATTCGGATAGAAAGGCAGGAGAAGTCGCACTGCAGTGCGTTGTCGTTCGATCGGGAAGCTGCGAATGCGTTTCAGCTGTATGTGCATGAGAGCCTCGCGTTTTCAATTAAGAGAGGGGGGATCATGTATGGTTCTGTAAATGAGGCAGGCGAGATTAAGGTAGACGTTATTTATGAGCCACCACAGCAAGGGTCTGAGGAAGGCTTGCTCCTTATGAGAGATATGGATGAGGAGAAACGAGCTGACGTGATCGCTGCAGGATTAGGGTTACGGAAAGTAGGGTTCATTTTCACGCAGACAATAACCCAGAATCAGGGGGGGTACACATTATCAAACGCAGAAATACGGCAGACAGCTGAATTTCATGCCGAGTCGGACTTTGAGCAATGGGCCACAGCAATAGTGAAGCTTGAAGTCAACGAAGATGGTGGTGCAGATGTTCATTTTGAGGCATTTCAATTAAGTGATCAGTGCGTGAAGCTATTCAAGGACGGTTTGTTTGAGGAGAATGTGCCAGATCTGGACCCGAAGTTAACGAGAATGAAGAAAGAAGTTATAGTCCTTCAGAAAGACACTTTCGATGTTGACAACGACTTTTTCTTAGTTCCTGTGAAGATTCTTGATCATGAGGTATGTGTTTTAAGTTCCTCACCCTTCTTCTGGACCCGTTCCACGTTGTCTTGGAAAAATATTCTCCATGTGCTGTATTTGTTGTTGGAATTCCCACACTGTTATCTATGCACACGCTTCATCTGTGTAGAATTTGTTTGTTACAATGAATATAGTAATTTCATGGTTTATCCTCCGGTTTTTGGTATAGTTTGCAGCCACATTCATAGATTCGAATCACTTGATGGACCCGGTCCTTGATATTGACTTTCTGTTTTGTTAGGATTGAACTTTTGTTTTATGTTACATGTCTGATTTAAGGTTTGTCTTAATTTTCCTGTCCTTTCATTCGTTGGGTATCTTCTATGCTTTTCGGGAGCTGTTCAGTCATCATGTTCAATTGAAAACAGCATAGCACTTGGTTTGAGTGGCTACTTTAGTTCATACGTTTACTGGTGTTACAAGTGAATTGCAGAGGATATGATATCAATATTGATTACGTTTTCTATTTGCAGGGCCCGATGACAACAACATTCCCCATTGAGAATAGAGCACCTCTCGCTACCCTTCAGGCTTTGAAGACTCATTTGGAGCGTCACAGGAATAAGCCCTATGTGAAGCGGATCGCTGACTTTCATCTTCTTCTGTTGTTGTCGAACTTCCTTGACATCAACACAGATGTTCCACAGCTGACGGAGGCTATTCGTACAGAAGGCCCTGTACCAGAAGGGTACCAACTCATTATCGAGTCCATGGCGAGTAGTTTTTAGGCATCCTTACAAGAAGATAAAAGAAAGTAATCTGAGCAGGTTTATTTTCTGGTAAAATTTCTGTATATTCTCGAATTCGGGAGGTGAAATTGGTCGAACAATTTGTAACCATATTCTTGTACCCTTTTCACTTGAATGTGTATGTCTTCGATGAAGCCATATTTCTGCTTCTAGATTTCCTTAAAGGAGGCTGTTATCGTTGTTTTGAAATCACCTTGTAAGGTTCTGTGTGTTGTAGGTATATAAAGTCATCAGTTTTGCAAGATCATTACAGTCAGATATCGGAACAATTCAGGCTGTGTCTACTCCAATCACACTTCACAGGCGGAAGAACCCAGCAACCTCTATATTTTCCGTTGTAGATTGGCAGATTCCTTAATTTTAATTCTTGCCTAATCTGCATTTAATCGGTTGTAAATCTGGATTAGTTATCTTAGTGATTCTTCACAGCATTTGTGAGGACCCACTTTCTTTTATGCTTCTTTCTCACAAGAATCCCCAATGCAACATGTAACACTTAGGAGCTTTTCTCGATTTGCTTGAGCAGGAATTATTTGGCACCGTTTTTCATATGAATAAATGGGTAACCATACAAGTGCTTTGTTTCAGTATAAAATATGTATATTTTGAAAGCACTTTTTAAACGATGGGTATTGATGGATGATAACCTTCAAAGTGGTTGAAACATTTAAACACAGTATTTGCTTCAAGATTAGTAATAGAATTTGGGCCGTATTCATTCTTGGCATATGACACTCTGCTTTGAAACTAATTCTGTGTTAAGATCCAATACTAACGGTGATTATACATACATGATTTGGTATAATGACATGTATTGTATCACTTATTTGTTTACAATATCATAGAATGTTTTTGAAATTTTGTATTCACTATGACAGAACTCATTTGTTTGGAAAATAAACTCTATAGATAGATAAATGTGTGTGTAGATATATATATATATATAGATATATATTAACAATACACAAAAAATAAAATGGAGATAGTCGTGTCTAGAAGTAAATTAAAAATATCCACTCTCAATCTTTTAAGATCTTTATAAAATATCAAGGACTTTGAAATATCACATTTTTATAACACTCTTGTCTTATCATATAATTTTATTTTTTCAAAACTAAATGTTGAAGTCTTAGAATTAATTTCAACTTCAGGTTTATAAAAAAATCAATAATATTCATTTTTGAAATTGAAATACACTGCTGTAGCTAAATATAATTTGTGCCCATTTTACTTTTTATATTATTAAATTACAATGTTAGGATTTTAATCGTATGTTAGTATTTTTTTCAATAAAAAATTGTGGAAATTTTGATACATGATATGAATGTATTGAATATTACTTTCCAAATGACTTTTGGTAAAAATATCATATTTTCTAAATGTTCTAATTGTAAAACTACTTCAACTTCAAAAAACAGTAGGCTGTGTTTAGATTATTCTTACATTCATTTGTTTTTTAGAGTTTAATCTAATCATTATTTGGATATTTTTAACTAATAAAAATAATGTTATAATTTTATTCAAGTGTCTTAATAAATTAGCTTTTTAAATTCCTTTCAGAGCCTAAGACAAGTCTGCAGTTCAAACAACTAATAAATACAAGTAAAAAATAATTACAAGAAAAATTACATGGCTGAACTGAAATCGGTCGCAGTGGCACCCAATCATGAGAAAATGTTTAAAATAGAAGAAATCTGACGAGAAAGATGGCAACTGAAATAACATGTACTACTGGCTTGTATCAAGGACATTATGGTACAGGACCACAATATAGACATGATCTACTGTACAGAATGAGCAGAATTGTTACTATAGCGACCCTAGAAGAGAACACTGGTTTAAAGGGGGACATTATACACAGGAGGAGGTCAAACTGACTCTTCCTCAGGTTGCCATTACTATGAATGCTGAGCTCTGCATTATGAGGGGAAGGAAAACAAAAACAAAAAAAAACAAAAAAACAAAAAACCAGGAAAACAAAAAAAACAAAGAAAAGGAAAAAGAAAAGAAGCTGAAAACGTGATTTCGTAGTCGCAAATGTTTTACACAGGAAGTTATTTTACGAATTCTCCACCCTCGTGGCTTCAACCATGTAATCAAAATTTGAACAGTCAAACTTTGAAACAGCTCTGCCTGGAAGCCCACCCAAGGAAGCAATAATATCCTGATTCCACATGCTAAACTTATTTTTACCAACAGGCACTTTTGCATACCAGACAACTTGATCGCTCCACTTGGGGAGGCTCTTGAGGAATAAGGGATGAGGTGCCGGCTCAGAGCCCAGCCAAATTGGTCGATGTGCCATTAAAACGTGGTATGTCTCTAAAACATCAGTGATGTAGCACCTAATGGAATGACGTGGCTGGTTGTCAATATTGAGCTTCAAGTTCGCTCCCATGCCTCGCGTATACCTATATGTTCAGAATTTAAGGCAACAGATTAAATCTCTCCTCTTCCATGGGATAATATGACTGGCTTTCACAGGCTTCCGTGATTCACCATTAGCACAAGCACTGCCATCAAGAGTAAACCATTCTTGGATCAGTCAAAATCGTATCGCCAAGGTAATATAATTTCAAAGTATATTAAGGTTCCACATTCTGACCTTAGGCACTCCCCATGTTCGTCAGTGAATAGTTCAAAATCAACGTCAGATAATTCTCGAAGTTCGCTTCGCCCTTTAACACAGAAGTCACGCAAACAGAAGTAGACGAACCGCCTATTGCATCCCTCTGGGTGTGTATTGGAGAACTTGCATTGACTTAACATGCCAATTTCATTCATAGGTGGGTGTACCTCCAGCGTCATAACTTCTTTTGCTGACTCTATTGCTGCAGACTTAGCTACGGCTTCCTCAACTGCCAGCTTCACTCTAAGAAACCGAGGATCACGGTAAATGCTGAACGGAACTTTGGCGATTCCAGTCTCAGCCGTTCTTTGCAATTCGCGGGCTCTGATGATACGTCCTATGGCTCGCAACATTGCTTGGATACTGCAAATAAGAGCCATTCACATGCATTAGTTAATGATGAAAAAGCCTGCAACCCAAAAGTTCCGTGCTATGATTACATCCAGTGGTAGAGATGACTTAAGAGATCCAATCTCAAGCTCAACCCAACTCAGCACTTGTAGAGGAAATCAACGGTAACCTTTGATGAAAATTTCAACTAAATGTTGATCTAAAAAAAAAACTAACTAACTACACCTTTCAATACCAAGGCACAACCAAGAGCTAAGCAAAGATTAACAGGATGGGTTGATGTACAACCTGGCTGGTGGATACGACTGCCCATTCTGTTTTGTGAGTTGGGACATAAACTCGCATAGCATATCAACTAGCGGCCTTACATCACATAGTTCAGACAAATCCTCAATTGAAAGGTCTGTACTGTGACCGTTTGCACTCCTCCATGCATCAAAAGCTTTCCTTGCCCACATTTCAGGGTAGTTTTTCTCACTTCTTTCTTTTGCTTCAGATTGTAATCTGTACTTCAAAGGCGACTTAGGCCGTGCTGTTCCAATCAACGCAGCTCTTAAAGCTGCGACACTTTTCATAGCATGAGGACCAATTATTCTTGTACGCTTGTATTGCTGAACGCCAGGCTCGAAGATAGTTGTGAACTTTCTTTTGTCTGGCAAGGGATTCCTGGTGACTATGTTTTGCAATTTCTCGGCACCGGGCTCGTCAGTATGAAGTACATTATTCTTCTCCTCCGTATCCTCTTTTCCAGAGACAATGCTCTTCTCAGCAATACCATCCTCTGCAAGGACTTCACGATCACTTCCACTAACGTCAAGGACTCCAGGAACTGTCATCATGGATGTATCGCTTGCATCTTCCTTCTCTTCTTCACTGTGCGGTACTTGCACCCCATTTTCTGGACCGGCCGCCTCCATACCACCAGTTTGAGTAGGCGTAGGAGGACAAGGTGCTTGTGGGGGTTGCGGAGCTGGAAGAGGCTGCGCATACTGCAACATTTGAGAGGTTGATGACGAAGTATGTACGGTGGCAAAAGGCCCTAAGAGCAAATTCAGAGGGTGATCAGCATGCTATAGATTAAAACTAATATACAAAAGTAAAGTTAACAATCTACCTTAGTGTAAGCCGATGGTCTGAATGCTAGAAGATACCACTTAGAACATGTACCAAGAAAAACACAAGAAATAAACAAAGAAATAAATAATATAAAACTAAAGAAGCAAAGGTTATAGGGTCATGATTGCGAATCCATAGTAACGTCCTCGACACATAACACAGATACATCTTGAGAGTTGATAAAAATAAAAATAAATAAATAAATAAAAATTACCTTTTGACTCTTTTGTGATTGCTTTCAGGTTCTCTGGGAGGGCCTCTCTTGAATGCAATGCAGTTGATGGCGCTGGTGTCAAAGAGTCAACCTTCTTTTGCTTCTTCACACTGCATTAACAAACCAACATAATAAGTTTGTGCAATCTATCCAAAAGGAGGGCAATAAGTGCAAACAATATCGAGGACCTCTACCAATTGTCTGTTCACGGTACCAAACAACCTTAACTCCATACGTCTACACGGAAAAACTCTAAACAGGCATAAATTAGTCCATTCTTGACATTATCACGCATTTATAAAGCATCAGACCACAGAGTGTTTAACATTCTAATAGGAACGACGAACTCCCCACACAATCAATAGTAGCAATGCCAGGGACGGGTTGTTCGCATGATTATCTAAATAAATGGTCACTCTCCAAGTTGAACAAAAGACGTAATGGTGCCGAGTGCGTAACGGCACGTGCAGGAGACATTCACATCGATAAATAAATGAAAAGGTATCGAACAAACCTGACAATATCCGAATTCAGGAGAAGGCTTGCTAACTCTGTTGGAGGCAGAGCAAAACCATCCATCTGGAATTCCACATAATAACAAAAATCTCTTATATGTACGCAAGATTTCTAAACATTACCGTGCTGCAGAAAGCTATTCATGGGCATGAAAACTCACACTTTTGGCCGAGACGGTGATTACAATATTCAACACATTCCGCTTCAAACGATTATGCCAGGGCATAGCACCGGAAATCAAGCCAAGCTTATACTTATGTCCCAGTATAAAGATTATGGTGTAAACCAAGCTGGATTGACATTTGGACTTAGACATACAGATTCACCTGCCATGACAGTCTTTCAAAGTGTACAAAAATCATCCGCTAAACTGGGACAGAAAAGAATCTCATCGACAGCAATACACTAACTAGTATCTAAGACCTGGAGTACAGCGAAAGTTGTATCTTGGACTTTATACCTCAAGGGAAAGTCCTTCACGGCAAGAATGCTGAAGATCGAATTTGGCAGCGATATGAGCAGCAAGTTGGCCAATGGTAAGTATATAATTGTGTACAAGGATCCAACATTTGGACAGTCCTTGATCGACTTGCTGTGGAGTAAGAATGTCTGGATCGCCAAAACATAACCTAATCCTCACCCCTTTCTTCATGTCCATCGTCGATCGAATATCCGTTTGGCCAGTAACTGCATGCAGTGAAGATGATTGATTCCCAGTAGTACATTCGCCGCCATGCAAGCGTATGGAAGAGCTCTTCCCAGCTGATAATGAAGAACTCTTTCTGCAGGGCCTAATGGCCAATTGACGAAACATTGACACCCTTTGTTCCTCGGTTACCACGGTGTTGCGTGACTATCCTATCCGCACCTTAATTATGCCTTCGGTCACGTACTAAGCCAACGTTTACTTCAAACGAAGTAGGATTACACTCCTGGCTGTGCACAAAATTTGACTCAATTCCTTCAGAACCATTATCCACATCAATCACCGCCAATCATTGGTGCTGTAGAAGCCTTAAGATTCCCACAAAAATTTCTACGCAACCCAAGACGCAATGCATAATGGTCAATTCAATGTACAGCACCAGTATTTTTAACATAACAAAAAAATTGATTCTGTAACAAAGGCAGCGAGGCCAACACAGACTGAGCAAAAATTGGAATTGCGGTCTGATGCAAGGAGGACCTACATTCCATGTTCAGATACAGTCTTCACAGTGTATCAGACCAATAAAATTTAGGGGGCAAGAAATTTTTTTAAAGCCACGTCCTAAACTCAAATTTGTGGCTCCTACGTGGCAGCAATTTCTGCTGCTGAAGGGGATTAGCCAAGTTGTGAAGTACGAATACCACCAATTCTCGGATAATCCGATCAGAATTCAAAAAAGAGAAAAAACAGCGAACGATATCAACACGTTCTATACAACTGACGGCAAGTCCACCAGGATAGTTCCTTACAATAGAAAGGAAATAAGGTGCAGACCACTTGGCAGGCAGCGAAGTCTCCGTTGCTCACAAAAAACCTTTCTCCTACCCTCTCGCAAACTATCACTCCCATCTTCATTCCTAGACGAACCCCAACATAAAACCTCCACATAAACTCTTCTCTCACACCACTCACACAAAAATAGAAACAACAAAGAGCGTAAATCCAAACAACCGCAACAAACAATCACTCAACGCCACCAAACATCACCCCTCATCACCCTCTAGACCTAAACTAAAACCACGACGAGGAAAATCCCAACCTCCTTAAACCCCAATTCTGCGACGCGCTCAAGTGACATAGTAGCTGAAGCAAACAGGCACCGGTCAGACTCTGACATCGACAACCGACACTCGACTCTCGCGACATCGTCAAAACCAAAATTACCCGGACCCGCAGCCGGAAACCCAAAAAAAAACGAACAAACAGAACAAAAGGAGTAAAAAAAAAAGAAAAAAAAAATGTGAAAAGAAGAAGACGAAGAAGGAAATCCGATTCACTAAAGACCTAATGAAGTTGTGCCTTTCCTTCCACCGCCCGATCGCTGGACCGCGAACGAACGTCGATCGCCTTTGCACGTGAGGGTGAATTGCCACCGACACAGACTCTCGAAAGCTCCCCCCCGTAGGATGAGTTCCGCTTCATGCTGCCCGTGCCCCTGCCCCTGCCCTAACAGTCCTGCCCAAGGCAGAGGTAGACCACCTCGCTCTGCCCGGGCCCTTCCGGGCATGGGGGCCATTCTACCTGCGGGATTGAGAGTGGGTTCGGCCTGTAAGGAAGTGCCACGGAGGATGTTCCGGGGGAGTGAGAATCGCGAATGGTGAGGGATGTGAGTGCGAAATAAATATGTTCTTCTTATTGAAGACTTATTCCGTGTTGGGTCTCTAACTACTTATTTATTTATTTTTATAATATTATTTAATTAAAAGTAAGAAGCAAGAAGATATTGGTGCATTTTCAATTGTAGTTTTCATACATGAATTTTGAACTTTTTTTACTTTCAAATTGTGAATATTTGTGTTATGTCTTTAGGGTTGTCTTGGATCTTTATGGCAAATAATAATATGCCAAAACTGATCCTAGTACTTTGGAGATATTCTAAGAATTTATTTTTGTTCGTCCTGACATAAATGGCACTTTTGTGTTGATGAAATCAAAAATCAAAATCAAAGTTTAATATATTAAATATTTATATTATTTACAAATCAATGTGCATTCTTTATAATTTTTCTAATTATATATATATATATATATATATATATTCACACACACGCACAATGTATATGTACATTCTAAATGCATATATATATATATATATATATATATATGTCAACATATATATATGTATATACATACATATGCATATAGAAATATAAATTGGTTAAGACAAGTTTTAAAATTGTAATATAATAATAAATATAATATCTAAATAATAAAATATATACTTTAATCTAAGTTATAATTTTAATCCTTTGAAATACCAATGATCCTTGTAAAATAAATCATATATTATTTTAATGTTTGATAAGCATAATGTAATTTTTTTTGGCTAAAGATTAATATTTTATTTCAATTCTAGTTTTATATATATATATATATATATATAATAGCTAAATTTAAATTAAAATAAAAATATGCCAAAAGATTAAATTATTTTATTATATATTTTAGTTGATTGGACATATGCTATTTATTTTTTAATTCATTACTTAATAAGAATTGCATAATGTACTTAAAAATACAAAATTATGGTATTTATTGTGATCTTTCTTAAAAAAACAAACACCTTATTTTTTAAAAGCATTAAAGTATTATAAGGTTATAAATTAACTAAATGGATTTTTTCAATACCAATTTCTTTTTTCTTTTCTTGCTTATTGTAAGAGGAATTAAATGCTCATGAATTATATGTCTAAAAATTGTGCTCATGAATTTATAGTAATTAATAATCTTGAATTGATTAATATGTAGTTATAGTCCAATCTAAGTTATTATTCTGTTGGTTATTTAAGTTCCATATATCCATACAATCCACATTTATCATGATCTCTACAATAGATGTCATTCCAAATTTTTTCCATCCATAGAATATATTACATCAAATTAATGACTTCATCTAATTATTATATTTATCCAAAACTTTGATTTTTTTTACTTAATTATTTATCTAAATATAACCTCTACACCCATTTTAACCTTCCATCTAGGAGTCATCCATAGCAATTAATTAATGAACTTACAAAACCATCCAACCAAAGAACCAAGGGATTTTGGTACTTCTAAACCTATTGTTGCACCCTCTTTTACAAAATAGTGTTGTACATTTGCTAACAAGCAAACTTGAGTCTAATTAATCTTATTAGAAAGAAGACTTGAAAGTACATCCACTATTTAGAAATTTATCTTTAGGATTTTTTGAATGCATCTAAAGTTGTTCCTCAAAGTTGATGCTTTGATTTGTCGAGGTAACAAACCTTCTTCTATAAAACTAAGTACTAATGCATTATCTTTGATTGCCTTTTATTAAACTTGAGTTATTAAAATCTTTACTTTAAATAACATCTTCTTTCTAAAAGCAAGTCTTTAGATTGCCTCAATCTTTTTAATCTCACTCTCCAAAATTATATCTCCAATGAGTAGTTTGAATTTAAAGATAAGAGATCTTTTGCCACAAAAACCATCACTTTTTCTATATATTGGCTTCAAATTTATTAATTCATAGGATTCTAGAAATTAGACTTCATCAACTTTTTAGAAAAATAATCTTATTGCTATCTAACTTGTGGAAAATAAAGAATACCTCTTTAAAATAGAGCTACCAAACTATGAAGATATTTTAGAACTTTTTACTAAATTGGATGTTTTTTCCTTATCCAAACTTTAAATATTAATATTTTTAAGTGTACAAAATTGCAAAAACAATTCTTGTCTTTATATATGTTATAAGACCTAATTCTAAAATCTAAGAGAGAAAATTGACAAAGACCAAGGCCATTTACAAAAGCCTAAAGAGAATTTGGCATGACTTGCTTTAAGCACAAGAGAAGAGGTCTTACTCATAAGAACTCATGAAATTTCTTATGGTATTGACCTAAGACCTATAGGTATTTGCCACATCCCCACCCTCATATTCCAAGGAGTCCAAACTAAGATCCATGACTTTAATTGATTAATCATCAAAGTCATAAATTAAGGCTGATGACCATCAAATGAACTATATAAATATTTTTATTTTACCAGATTAACTACACATTAATATTTAAAACATATTCTCTAATTAAGATTGACTATTAACATATCTTGGTCCATAAGAAATTGTAACACTTATGAAATTAAATTACTCCTAATTTACTTCTAACTTACTTATGACATCGTTGTTACTATAATCAAATATATATATATATATATATATATGTTCAAAAATCATAACTAAATCATCCAATGAATTTTCTACAAATAATTCTTGTACTACGGCTTCTACAAGACTGAATTTTATCCAACCTTCCAGGCATGTCACCAGCAACAACTTTTCTCGTAAAGTTACCATCGGCTTTCAAGCTTCTTCATTAGAAGCTTAGAGCCTTGATGCAGGAGACAATAATACAAAGGATGATGGGAGACATCTGCCCTCTGGGCAACCACAACTTCCACTAAATAACTACCCAACACATACAAACACAAGGCTCAACTCTAACATAAATGTGAACACAATCAATCCAATTATGAAAATTACGCATTGTAGTTGCGATGGGGCAGGTCCGAGATGGTGGAAGTTGTCCTGGGCTTCCTTTTCAATTGGAGTGTTTCTCTCAACCTGATCCTCCAGCAACTTCTCCACTTGCACAACCACATCTAGACCTGATAAAATTAATCGTTGATCAGTCAGGACCATCACAAGAATGGACACTGCTGAACAGTGTTTATGCATGAGCATGCTGCCTCCAGAATCGGTGCCTGAGAACTTTGACGAAGTCCCTCTAGGAGGTGTTTGTTGCCAGAGAGGCGGCAATCAACGCCGACATCAGTTTCTGAGGGTGCATAGAATCCAACGAGCCTTCCTAAATTCGACTGTTCAGTTTCTACTCTTGAAGCTTTGTTAGAGACCTTCACCACCGCTCCGACGATTAGTGCTGGCCTCCTTGATGCCTCAACTCCCAGACGATTGATACAGGGCACTTCTATGTACCATATAATGCAGGAAAGTTTGAATTGAATTGGACATTGTCGAGTCTTAAAAGCCAGATATGAAAACTGGTTTCCTGCTGCGTCTTAGATGCAAGATTAAGTGGCTGAATGAATAAAGTTTTTAAACTGCTACGGTCTACACTGGCGAGAGTTTTTGGAGTAGGTAGTAAGAGGTCAGTTGTTTACGTTGATGAGCTTGAAGCCCACATCAAGTCCACACTGCGGCAAACAAGATGACTGTCGTGATTAGTAGGACAAAAACTGAGCTGAAAGTTGTTTGTATTGTTGAGGATTTCTTCTTCATCAACTAAGGAGTAAAAGTGAGACGTATGACGTGAAATCTCATTGGCAATGAGATCTCTAAAAGATCCGGAACACGATATTTCCCATTTAGTATGACCACAAAATTTCGGCAATACAAAATCTGAGAAACCAATTCAAGAGTTACGATACCTTCCCGAGTCGCATTGAACCCGAGAGGTACAAAAGCGATGAGCACCAGCAAAATGATGGCCACAGGTGTAAGCATCAAGAACGGGGGCGGCGGAGGCAAGGGCGGCAGGACGACCGGAAGCACTAGTAGCATGAAGGTCAGGCTCAGTAGCAACACCACTGACAGCAACGTGAAATTAACCATTAATCTAACCCACCTGCCCTGTTCGAATTAATTTCCTCTGAACTGTTGTGCCCTCGTTACAGCTACACAACCCGTTTAGAAACAGCTGCGATAAAGTTTGCCTGATCGAACTCCTTGCATGAATTCTTCAGGATGCCATGTTACAAAATGAGCCAAAAGAGAACAGCAGCAGGAACAGCTGCTCCACTGTTGGCTTCGGCCATTGAGTTGAGGCTCAAATTAAACCAATGATGAAATCAGCGATCACAGTTACAGAGGCTCTCCAAGACCGATGGCTCTTCTAGCAAACTAAAGTACCTCGCATATATTTCCAGGACTGTAATGGACTATGTTCGTCATCTCCGAGAGACCATGTGTTCGATAAAAAAGTTCGTGTAGCATACCTTCAAGGCTAGCATGGATGCAAATGAGTTTCTCACAGTCGCCGACATGGGTTCTGAACCATAGCATCGACGTAATCTTTCTCGCAGCTTTTTGTTGCTAATGCGTGAACATTGCCCATGACGGACGTTCTATCCCAAGAGCTGGTCCCCACTAAAACCAAGCATTTTGGTCCCGAAAAGACTGAATTGAGTAACGAAAATTCTCCCGACAGTTTTTCACCAGAAATTAGAGCAATTGTAAGAGGCTGTTTGGACGCAAGAGGGTGCATGAACCTCCTGTAGCTTCGCCAGAAGCCTTTCAACTGCACTAAAACAAAAAGCAACCGAAAAAAATAAACTTAGCAATCACAACAAGCGACGCGTACTTCGATCGTCATTTCCACTGCACACCGCGCAACCTTCAGCCGATGCAACATATTGATCTAAACAATGACAGCTACTCCAACCCTCCACAAGTCAAATCAGGCAAAATCCAGGCACTACAGCAACCAACTAATTAAATAAAACGAGGCATAAAAAAACAAACAAACACATATACAAACACACCGGACGATTCTTGGCAAGCTCTTGAAGGCCGAGACGCAGAGAGCACAAACGAATTGTGTGTGAAAGATAATATATAAGAAAGGCAGGGGGGGGGGGGGGGGAGAGAGACTGTCTACGGAGAAAGACACGAAGAAGGTCGGCTGGGAGGAAGGCGGCTGCGGGATGATAACATAAAAACAAAGATTGGCAGCTTGAAAATGGCCCACTCTGTCTATGACTGTACTGCTTGCATGCAAAATAAATGATGATTTCATCTAAATGTGCTGCAGCAGACTCAAATTTTGTCTGATCAAAAATAATTCGAAGTGGTGCCACTACTCTTTGTGAAATTTTGTCTTCGAAATCAGCTATCTATCTCAGAGGCCATGCTTTGCATCTTGGTTCTGTACTGATGTCGCCTTTGAGAATTTTGCACTATCAGTGTCCACCACAAATGGCATTCACTGTGCCAAATCACCAAGAACCTGTCCTGGTTTCTATTGTAATTTCTTCAGAAACGTATCATTGGCGAAGTGTAGGAATTCATTTTAGCATGACTGGACCAGGGCAGAACTACCAACAGAACTCCTGCAGAATTTGCGAGGAAATCCATGGTGACCTCAACAAATCAAACTGTGATTTTTCACACACTTGAATGGCATGACTCGCTGGTTCTCAGCCACAGGGGCCAATCTCAAACACAATTTCCATAATTTCCATTGGGTTTCCATGATGCTTCAGGACGGCAAAAAGAATCCCTCATGTGTATGCCGTGTATTCATTGGGGTGGCAAGAGAGGATACACGAAGATGCATTTGGCATGATAGAGATATGCTAGCATACGGAACAGTTGTCAATAAAGAGAAATTCGTCGAAGTTCGAAAAATTAATTAGAAGTGGAAAAACCCAAAAAATAATAAAAAAATAAAAGTAGAAGAGGAGGAGGAAAGAACTGCCTTAGCTAATACGCTCGAGTAAGTGAGTGTGTGTGTTTAGCGCCTTGCACTTGTGTTCTAGTCCAGTGTCGGTTAGGTCAGAAATTCCAAACCACGTCAAAAAAGATGGTGCAAAGGGTGAAAGGAGTTGCCATCCATCTCGATGGAGCTCTGATATATGTCGCCCTCCCCCCTGCCTCCATCTTCGTCTGCCTCGCGACACTGTTTCGACCTCGGTGACATTCTGCGTTATACTCTCCACGGCGTTGCTCCCTCGCAACCAACGTGTTGAAGTCCTCTATTCGACACATACACCTTTCCAACACTCTCCTGCTGCAGTTACCCAACAATTAGGGTTCAAAGTCAAGTGGCCGATAGAACTGCTGAACAGGAAACTCTGTTCGAATGTTTTCGGGCAGAGGCACATCGCACCAAAACCATGAAAGTTGCCGCTTGCAATCTACAATTCAATGAATTGCCTGTTAATTCTCTTTACGACAAAATTTAGATTTTGAATAGGCCAATGCTGTTAATGCAAATTCGAAAAGCTCAAAGTGCTCCTCCACTCAATACAATCCTCCAATGCTGAAGCAGTCTGTGATATGAGCCAAGTTCGGGAAAAATGGCTTCAGCTCTGTTCACATCGATGTACACTCATCCGTTGTTCCTTTCGGCCTTGTTCGATCGTTCAGAATTCAGGGGAAGACAGCAGGAGAAGCATCGAATTCGCCGCACTGGGTGGACACAAAGCCGACGGCTCAGATGTGGCCTGGAACGCAAAGCCTGAAGTGAAAAGAAATTGTGGGTCCACGTTGGAGACACGATGGGCGTGGATGATTGTATGTGGGGGACGGAATTCGATGCAACAGCCACACACACACATCTCCACATTCTTCTCATCCCAAACCTGGGCCTTCCCTTCACATCGACATTCATTTCATGAATTTTTCAGAATCTGCAACAATTGTTTGTTTGCTTCATGATTTGTTGCACTCCCCATATCACTCTCGCTCTCTCTCTCTCGCTCTCTCTCGCTCTCTCTCGCTGTTTCACATGTAATGTATCTCCGTCCATCGCTTTCACTCTGTACATGTGAAAGTTAGTGACTGCAAATCTACATCTCTTCCATGAAAATTGTAGGCCCGTCTTTGAGTGGAAAGATATGATTGCTTGAAATAAGTCATGTAGATTGCATTAACATATATATATATATATATATATATAGATATATATTTTCCTCTTTGCATTGTGGTTGTTTGAACTTGTTATGTCATGGAACTGCTACCACCATTCTGGATTCTTTTTTTAAAGACCCCAAATTGACTTGCAAAATCTAGGATTGAAGGATGCAAGGCAATTGCAAAAACATTTTGTGGGGAAGTTGCTTTATTGTGGATTTCTCAAGTAGACAAAGCAAGGATTGTAGGCAAAGCAGTCAATTCCTTGGATTCATGCGACCATTTTCATGAAATAGTTGCTGATTGTGATTGAATGGCAAAAAGTCTCCTCCTAAGAACTCATTTTTAGGAGCACCATGAGTGTAACAGTGTTTGGAAGGAATAGAGAATCATCAAAGTCTAAAATACATTAACCGTGCTAGACTTGTAGAATTATATACTTGATTTTTATCGATCTTCAATTTGTAGATATGCAGAAATACTGATTGTATTTTTCTCATATTTTTTAAAACTGTTTGTGTAAACAGGTCAAGTTATACTTGGATTATTAAATTTATGCACCTTGAACACAATTTCAACGTATTATTAATCAAATATCTATTTAATTTTTACAAAAAAATAACATTATATTCTGAAATTGAAAAATATTTTTATTATGAAGTTGTCTATGTGTAGGTAGATGTATAGTTAAAAACATTGGTGGTTTTATTTTTAATTAAGCATTTCACCAAATCATTACATGAAATTCAAAACAATACATATGAAATTTGCAAATATTGTGTAAGATTTAATTTAAAAGTGCTTAAATAATTGGATGATTGTGAAAAGTCCAATATACTAAAGAGCAAATAAATGAAAGTCCAATTAATTGTCAACATTTTATGTAAAGAATGTACTTATTGATTAACTATTCTTCTGAATGTTTTTGCTACTGTGTAATATTGATTGTATGATGCAATTTATTCATTAAGTTTATATTATGAATTCAATTTTATTATTTATTTATTTATTTTTAGAATTACATACTTATAAATTTTTAGACAGTTGATGATGTTTTTTTATATCGTCTCTTGTTCATAAACTTAATTTTTAAATACATTCTAAAAATAAAATCAATTTAAAGCATTTGGAAATAATGCATATTCCCAACCTATAGTTTTATAAATTCAATGTACATGTGTGACTTGCAATGTATCACTTTTAAAAATAATGGTTAGGAACTTGGCTTCAAAAATGATTTGTTGGATTAATCAATTTGAAGACTATTCTTTTTCTCAAATTAAATAGTCTATGTGTTTTCATTAATAGTTATAATGGATTGTATACTTAAAATGATAATTATAATCATTATAATTATACAATCCATTAAAATGAATGTACAAATATTCACAAATTGTGCATGCTGTTAAGTTGAATCTGAGACAAAAAATATTTGCAATATAATCAGCACATTCATTTCAATAATCAACAAGCTTAACAGAAGTGGGTTGCAATAATGACAACCAGTTTCGATTTTGTGATTTCAAATTCCATCAACCGAAAATTGAAACCACAACGGTTTCACCTAATACTCACTCTCATTATAAATCACATAATAAACTCTTGAAATCCACGTGTGATCTTTCCATTACCTAAATTAAGTAAACTTCCATAATTACCACCACACACATTTAAATAGTGCTAAGTGTCGTTTACTTGTCGAAGAATTCGTTATGAACCTTACAATGATTAAAAACGTATTTAAAAATCATTACTAAAACATGTTGTAATTCAAGCTCACAAGAACAAACAAGTAATGCAAAATGAAGATTTTGAAAAACAAACAAGTTAGAGAAACGCATGGGTACAAGTGGCATATCTGGAGTTAAGCAGACAAGTAAATTGTGCAGGAAGGGAGGCGGCGATGGAATCATCTGTTTCCCATGGTCTGTCTGACTGTCTCCACTGTCAATGGAAACTCAATCCCCTACTTTTATGTCTTAAATTTCTCTGCAACTCATCCCCAGTTAAGATGAGTTGACGTGGGATCCTCCTGATCCCAGAGCCTCTCCTTCCTTCCTTCATTCCTTCCTTTATTCTGTTTCTGTTTCTGCATGTCTGCTTTGCTTTACTTTTTCCATCGCAACGGCATGTCATTCAACCACCATCATCACTGCAAAACAGATGCCGGCGTTCACCAGAGTACCCACCTCATCAACAGGTTTCCTCATACAGCAAATTCCCTCTGGTTGGAGATGTGGGCATTTCGGCAATTCCATCTCTGCAGTACTTGGCAGACAGAGACGTGGCACATCCCAGCGGATTCCAAATACAGCCACGCATTGAATAAAAAGTAAAGCAGAATCGCAACAAAAAATTGTCCCACTTGAGCAAGCATCCATGTCGTCCCACAGGGTCCCATCAGAAACGAGTGGAGAGCCAGGAGGACAGAGAGAGAGCAGATGGGAAGTCTTAAAACACTCCAAATGATGGCAATATGGTAGGCCAGCTGACGATAAATTTCTACAGAAGAGAAATATACATTACTTTATCATTCCTACAAATGCACCTGCCAAGATGTTCTGCCACGTTACGAGCAGTTCTCACAATTGCACTACACTCCCCTGCGACTGCAAAAAGCCCAATTACCAACAGACTAGAGCCGGGTCTTTTCCTTTTCAGTAGTGGGATGCCTTTCGAATCACTGTTTCCGTGCGAGTGACGCCCACCATATGGTGACTATCTCCAGCGTAGACTCACTTACTGAAAAAGCTCTGATACCCTGAGAACAGACTAATTGACTCTAGCGATCTCCAGAGAAATGTCAGAACTCGGTTGAAATCTTCACTCTGATCGTGTGCTCCACGCTAATTCTTCCATTGTCCCATCTTTGGACAAATCAGAGCGCACCTCTTTCCTTCCTGCGAATGCAGAAGAGCTCCAAGAGCACGTAAAGGAGAAAAGAAAAAATGCAACTAGCTCGTTCAGAGTAGCAACTTCATCCTCCACTTGGAAGATCCACAGTTCCATGGTTCAGTACCCTCCGCGATAATTGGCTCCAAATACTCCGTAATTCACATGAAGATCCAACCATGGTGTGTCCTGCGTGAAAAGCTCCGCGAACCAGTTTGTACACAACGGTGGTCCATTTTCCCTCCCTCTAACTCGCGGCCAACCTGACTTGATTGTTACCATTTCCATTCCCACACCGCGCTCTGGCTTACGGAGCTTGCGTCATGAAGTATGAAGGTGAACAAAACTCTAAAGTTTTTTTTTTACACTTGAAGGACATGGATACCGGACTTAATGTAGTCACTCTTTCAATTCCCTGTCTGAATCCCATGTCACTTGTGAGTACCATCTCATATGATTTATTGCCCTACAACTACTTGAAAGTCCAAACACGGCGATGCGGAAGACAAACCAAAATGGGTTAATATGAACTAGCATCCATCCGACTAGAAAGAGAGCACAATAGAATTTGGATTCTTATGGAAGATAAGTAAATTTCTCCTTTCGCTCCTAAATTGCCAGATGTGTGATTTCATGCTCTCTCTCGTGCGCAGCTATGCCCCGATGTCCACCATGCTGCTGCCGATGCCTTGTGTTCCACCTGGGAGTGGTAAAGCACGAGCTGCCATTACTGCTAGAGCGGGAGTAGCCCACCATGGGACTGGCCGAAGAGAGCCTGTGAGGAGTATCATCCATTAAGTCCGAATCAGTGGCAGTCTCGGGGTCCCTGGTCCCCGCTTTAGCTGCAGCATTAATAGGACTCTTAGATTGAGCTTTCATATACGGAGATGCCCTCCACCATGGGCTTTTCTTCGAACTCAACACCGGAGTCAATGGTTGGATCTGATTACGATCTCTAGACTTGGTCGCATAGAGGGAAGAAGTAGATTTTCTTCGTTCCTGGTAAGGTACCGGATCAGATGGAGGTTCCGGAGTGGGTTTCTGCTGGCTCAGCGACTTATCCTCCTTCGAGGAGGAGCCTTTGAAGGAAGAAAACCACTTCCAAGGAGACTTCCTCCCCTGCCCTGCAATCTCGTCTCCATAGCTACGCCCTGCAACTTTACCCGAGTACTCATCCCTGCCCAAACCCTCGAAGGGCCCTGTCTTGCGCCCGTTGACAGAGGACTTACTGGCTTTCCACGCGGCATTGAAATTCTCACCATTGATGACGGGTTTCTGCATGAAGGGGCTTCCTCGGCTACTAGTGGAAAATCTCCGAGAATCCATGGATTCGATATCGAACAAGGACGCCCCTGAATATCTGGCAGGCGTGATCTGCTCATTGACTGACGCAACCGAGTACCTTGCGGGAGTCGTCTGCTCCCATTGCGACGACACAGAGTATCTTGCAGGGGTGGTCTGCTCCAAATTTGATGAAACGGAAAATCGAGTAGGAGTGAACTGCTGATCATGTGCAGGGGCTCCAGATTCAACACTGCCGTCATACCCCTGCTCGTTCGGCTTGTTCTTGGAATTAACAGCTTCGCTCTTCTTCTCTGATCTCCACAGCACACTAAGAGTGCGAAAACCTACCACTTTCAGCATCGCCGCCCCCCAGGACTTCGATTTACGCCTCCCACTTGAGGAATGTAATTTCCTCTTTTGACGGCCAGATTCCCCAGCATTCACTGTGACCAACATATTAGGTGGAGTAGCTTCATCTTGAACTCCGGAACCACTATCCTCGGATGTGCCCACTTCCATCTGCATGTCGACAGGTCCAGCACTGTCCAGATTGAAATTTGCCGCTTCGTTATCATCGGGTACATACGCTTGCACATGCTGCGCATGTTGATGACTCCCAACCAAAGCCCCCATTGCATTTCTGTTGACGCCAGGATAAAACAGATCTGAATTGTCTGCCCCCAAGCACCCGCGAGGGTTACCGTCTTCATCATACTGCACTAGTATGAACTGAGCTCTCCGGCTACCTGCCGGCATTGCTGAAGGTTTGCTGGGAGGGAAGACTTCCAGGTCAACGGAGTCGTCCTCCTCATCCTGGTAAACTGCGAGTCTACTCAGAGACTCACGCAGACAGTGAGCACATACTCCAACATTGTCCTGGCTTGGATGCCATTTACAACCGAGCATGGTCATTGTTACTCGAACTCTAAGGACAGACGACTAAGATACTCTGAGCAATGAATTAACGTCCAAGACCGTTCACCAAGCCTGTTGATATTGCAACACGTGCAATTGCAAAGCAGTCCGATGTACCGTCATATTGAAGGCAGCATTTTCATTTTCAGACCTGCATTCGGCCACACATTTGAAATGTCAATTACTCGCGATGAACTACATCACGACGACACCGAAGGAGTTTAAGCATTTTACATTCTATTTTTTTCATGTCGCTTGCACCGCGCCAACATGTTCTAAACAAAAGATTCAGCAGATAAAAACATAAAACCGTGTTTCGGGAAACACCCTTAAGTCCGCATTTTCGAACCCCCACTCTGCTGAACGGAAGAAATTGGCTTCACCTTGAAGTTGCAGGTCAAACAATTTGACAGAGCGAGTTCCGCGAGGCAGCACAAGAGATATAGCTCTGCTGACGTGATGAAAGAGGAGGGGGAGGAGCAATTGCATGCAGGAACAGCAACTTCGTCCAGTGTCTTGCACCGACAACACAGACAATGTGGCGCAGCTCACCAAAACTCTGATATGGCCAACGGCGGCAGACTACAGAAATCAAGTATAAGTAGTAGAGCGGAACGTCTTAACCGAGCTACATCACGAGAAATCTCAAACATATTTTCACAGACCCAGACAAGGCTATCGCACATGCCAATCAATGCCTGCTACAGATACGGAGGAAACATAACCGCCAAAACTCCAACTTATACACTTCCTGCCGATGGCCCTAACAGATCTAGGCCCTTCTCTTTGTTTCGTGAAAGCTCAATGAAATTGAGCAGAAGCAATAGCAAGAGGAAACGTGCACCAGGTCAAGCCGAGGTACTGTGGTCCTCCAAACAGCAACCAGGCAAGTACAAAACCTCGGCCAGGCCTTAGAATCAAGGAGATCCCAAACTCCCAGGTGGGTGCAATAACGCGCATGTACAGGAAAGACCAACGCCACTGGAGAATTGATCAATGTTATACTTTTTCCGGAGGAGAGTCAGGAACCCACCCACACTCTCCTCTGCAGGGGCTTTAGACTCAACGCACAACTAACCAAATACGAAGCCTCACTGGTCTTAACCAGTCCTCAAATACTGGTCGAAGGGAAGAGTAGAGCATCTGCGGCGAAAAGTATCAGCAATGGTCGACAAATGCGCGTGGGGAGCCTCAACTAACACCCAGACAGACCTCCACTACACAACTTGAGAACTAGCACACTATCTGCCGCATGAAGCAGTGGGTGGCTACAAAAGAGCCCAAGCTGTATCGACGGGAGCACAATATCACGCGCAGCCGGTGGATAAATGAGCAGTGGGCGAGTAAGTGACGTTGAAGCTGAGAGGGGCAGCAGGAACAAAGATTGCCTTGCAGGCTGCAACTGAGCTCGGAGGAGAGAGCAAGCAAACCCCATGCGCGAGTGTCAGAGCCACGGCGACAGCAGTGATTGCTCCCAACAGAGCCCGAACTCCGCCTCATCAAAACCCCGCTCCAGACGTATCCCATATATTCTACCATCATTTGTACATTCTAACATCATTTTCATACAACTCTACCGTAGCAATCCACAAACGTGACAATGCTCAGAGATCTAGGGTAGAGGGAGGGGTGGAGGGAGGCAGTATGGACGTAGAGAGCATGCCTGGCAACTGACTCAGGTTCAGAGATGGTGGTGGCAGAGGCGCTCCTGCAACAGCTCCATGAACAGAGAAAGTAGGAAAGCTATGAGAGATGTGGTGGGGGTGTGATGGACGACCTCAACGGCAGGTAGAGCGGAAGGTGAGTGGCAATTAAGACTCCCACTGCCTCCTCCTCTCCGCTCCTCTCCACTCCACTCTCCCGTACTTCCTTACTGCTGTGGAGCTCTGCTGCTGCTTCTGCAGCATAGCCAGATCCCTCGCTTCTTCTGCAGTTTCTTTTTTCTTTATCACAACTGTGATTGAACCAGAAGGGATGAGGCCACCCTGTGTGGTCTTCTAAATTATCTTACTACTACCACTACTGCAGACAGGGCGATGATCTGCTCAGATAGATGCCACTCCTTGCTTCTGCTGTGCCCATGCATCTGCCAGTCCACGGTGCTCTGTAAGCATCCACGAGCATCCGACCCTCCTCCTCTACGCTCACTAGTAATGTTACATGTACCCAAAGTGGATAGATGATGGATGCACCTTGCCTGGGCTGTGTGCACGGGTGCTGACGCTCGCTCCCTTACAACAGGGTGATGATGCCGCCACCAGTCTAGGATCCGTCTGGGTGCTGTGCTGACCCTACGCCAACTTTCTCTTCATGACCTCCTCGCAAACCCACCTCATCCTATCCCCGATAAGCACCCTCCAGGTAACCCGCCTCACCACCTACCTGCTGGATCCCGCACCGGCACCCATTTCATTCGGCCGAAGTATTATACGAACTACGATGTCGAATCTACAACACGAAATTCTGCAATTATAGTCTCACGTTGTGGAGTCACACCAATTTCCCGAAAATAGCTTTCTCCCGTTCCTGCTGAAGCTATCTGTTTTATCACAACATATGGTCTTTCTTTCTATCTTTCTATCTATCTGTCCTTTATTACTCTGCCTGGTGAACTAGACTTGTGAATGGATGGAGTCTGCTCGGCATGGAAAAATGGAACCTGCTTTTGATGCCAAGTGAACGACAAACTTATCGTGGAGTTGGGAAGACATGGATGCGAGAATGGGGATGTCGTCATTCACGAACCAGACTATTAATATATAAAATATGGAATTTTAATATATTTAATGATCTGCTTGCTTTGTGTTCTTGGGATCCATGCCTAACTCCGTCCCAAGGTGATGAATTCCGCCTTTCATCATTGGACCTTGTGCCCATGCCTCATCAGCTCACACAACAGGACGATTTTTGCTTCTTCTTCTTTTCTTTTTTTTTTTCTTTTTTTCTTTTTCTCCCCACCTTGCAGAACTACAATGGATGTGTATAAAATCATTGTGATTACATCTTTGTATTCTTCATCTGTTCATAGTATTTAGTAAGCAATAGTGTGACTTGCAGATAATTGTGTGCAATGTGTATTTTGTATCCACCTAATGCTGAAGTGGGTCCCTACCCCAACATAAGCAAAGTAGGTGGTGCAGTGCTGGCAGAGCTCCAATATTTCATTCCCTCCACTCCTCATGTTCCACTCTAATTATAAATGTTTTTGCTAATCAGAACCATAATAATGTGATCTTTAGCTCATTTCACATCCATTCTCCTCTTATCAACATGATATACATCTCCTTGTTGTTTTTTTTTTATATATATATATTGGGTAATCATTTATCGCCTTGTTTGAACCTTCAGGAAGATACAAGAAAAGGATAGTATACATATGTCACTAGACTAGCAATACTCATCACAAGATTAGAAAGGGCCATGTCACAAGTTTAGAACATATTCTTACACAAGTTACTGAATTTGTTGGAACTGAATTGGAATATATCATGCTCCATAGATAGCTGTGCTGTAAATCCTTTAGCACCATTGTGAATCACAGTTTTCATATCATATATCAGTGCATATCACGCCTTTCATAACAGTATTGAAATTAGAGTAACAAATATACTAAATGATGCTTTGTGGGAATAGTACTCAATATTGTAATAATATACAAAAACCAAAACCAAGATTTATTATTTGTATTACTATTCTTTTACAGTTAATAGCATTGCAGGTGATTGAGTTAAGTATGTATATATACCAAACGTGTGTGTGTGTGTGTGTGTGCACATGTGCATGAAATACATATGTCCAAAATTGCAAGACCTGTGTCATGTTTTTAGCTCATCAATTAGGGTCAAAACTTGAGAATAAATCACTGGATTTGTGATTGGTGAATTCACATGGCACAATACTATGGCTATGAAAAACATGTGCTTTGACACAAGTATTTTATGAAGTGGGGTGAACTGAGGTAGCCAAACTTGCAAGAAAGCTATCTATCAGACAACACATGAAGATAGAAATGGGAAAATTTCAACTGAAAATGGTTAATTGATTTGAGGTCAACAGAGTTGCAAAGTGAAGATTTCTGCAGAGATTACATTTGCAGAGTGCAAGATAATAGATAATGTTTTAGAGGACCTTACATTCAACAACAAAAGACAGGATGTTGGCAGATGACTCTGCTAGAGCAGTCATAACTTAGCAATTTGGCAATAGAACTGTAAGACATGGTGTGACATTGCTGAGTAGTTAGTTGGGAAAATTGACCCTTCCCTCTTTACGTTTTTGTTTTGTTGTTGTTGTTTTGATTGTAAGACTCATGTCAGTTGTTTAAATGTATGATTTGACACCAACAATTGTGTGATGACTTTGAATATACAAGGACAACTAAGATGGTTTAGAAGTCTCTTTCAAATTTGTGGTATGAAATTTGTTGGATCTTGATTTTTTTTTAATTTACAATTAAAATATTTTTGAGAACTCTTTCAAGTTGATTTGGAATCTGTGAAGGTTGTGATAAATAAAAGATTTTATCTAATAGATTTTCTAGAAAGAATTTAATTAAAACAATAAGTCAATCTTTAAAAATCAATGCTTAAGAATTTTTTTCACTTGTATACAAACTAATTTGAGTTGCTCTAAAAACATTTTATAGTATTTAGAAAAACAGTTACAAATAAATCAAGCAAAGACTCTCAAATCTCATAAGATAGACAATAAAATAGTACAGTTTGTAGGTTTTATAAAAAATTGAACATAAAAATATATAAACTTTTCAAATGGTTCATAAAATCTTTATTGTGTAATGTTACAAATGAATCTAATTACAAGGTCTTTATTGCAATTGTGAAAAAAATGTTTGTTTATTTATTTATTTATTTTTATGAAAATACTATGCAATATATTAAGGTCGTTGACAACATAAGAACAATCAATTTTGTTGACATCCAAAAATACTAAATATCTATTTTTTAATAACACATTATAATTTTTAAAATATTTATTTAATAAAGATGTTTTTTTATTAAACACTAATTGGCACATCAAATCCAAGAATATTAGTTGTTGCTATAATAAATACTTTCTAACTGACATCAAGCCTGTGTAATATAAAAAAAATAGAAAAGGTAACTAATGAACCACTTTTGTGGATGGCATAGTCAAAGTTTATAATATTTTGTACCCTGGGATGCCAAAAAACACTTTAAGTTCTTAAAATGAGGTAGACAATATAAAATTTAAATGTAAAAAATAGTAAGGGAATAATAATAATGAATAATTTCAAATTAACCAGAGAATGAATTATTTAATGGGATTGGCGAATAATAAAGTTTTGAGAGAAAAACTAAAATGTGTAGGTGTTGTGGGCACCATTTGGCATGGTAACCAAAATAGGTAAAACATTTTTTGAATATAACAATGGTGTATTTACTATTGTTGCAAAGCAAAAAATGCCATACATGTTTAAAAACAACAAGAATACAAAAGAAATGATGACATTGTATATATTGAATACAGCATAGAAAACCCTTGAAATGTTCAAAAAACAATAATAGTCGGCCCCAGTTCCACTCTGCAGAAGTTGAAAGATCTTGGTTTCCAAGGTCAGAATCAATCTTCTATCTAAGTCTTTGCCAGAGCAGTCAGTTTTAGATGAAGTGCAATGTTCCACCTACACAAGAGTTGATCTCAACTTAGCCTCATACTTGCATTCTTCCACCCAACTCTGAATTGTGCAGGTACTAAGGATCCCTTAATTGCCACAAGTGCTTGCAATGCCATGCTTTTCTCCACACAAAAAAAGAGTCTCTCTGAGTCTTTCTACTTATCAAACAATCTCCTTGAGTGAGTGAGTGGGGTGTAGAAAGGAGGAATGAAATGTTGCATGAGAATGAGGTTCAGAGGAAGGGGGATGTGGGGTAAGAGGAAGAAGCCGTTTTGTTTTGTTTCTCACCCTCATTCAGTTACTGCTCTGTCTGCAATTAGCACAGTTTGTGAGGGTTGACTGTGTGAAAACACCAATGACAAATGGCACCTACACACACATACATACATACACCTACACACACACACACACATACATACGCATGTGCATACACACACATACACCCACACACACCCACACAGACACACATACATACACCCATACACACACATACAGTTTGTCCTCTGTAACAAATCCTAAAACCCATTTTGACATTGGAATGACATTTTGGAGAATATGAGTGCAGCAGAGTTGGGGCCAATTCTAAGCTCATTGCACACCATGTTCCCCCTGCTATTAATCAAATAATCCTTTGCTGAACAAACCCAGTATTGGAAAGTCAAATCTTCAGGCAAGAAAGGCCCACCAAAAAGAGGAATTGATTGAGTGTATAGGGGAGAATGTAACATAATCAATGGTACACATGAATGTTGCATATTCTCAACTCCCAATCTAGAGTCAGAGAATACAACATCTCCTTTTCTAAGCATTTTATATGACACAATGCTCCTTTCTTCCATGGAAGTCTATTTACAGTTAATGACTGCAGTGTCACAGTATGTTTATTCATCTACGGGAAAAAAGTAAAAATAGTTTCATCAATGACTCCTTCACTAGCAGTTCCTCTTCCCTTTTTATATGTGTTTTGGACCCTTTGGCCTCCTCCATCCTTCAAAAGTGATGGCCAACTCAGACCTAAAAAAGAGGTTGAGTTCTATGTCTTGGAGGATGTGCCTATAATGATGCAGACCTCATTCTACTTTTCATTCATTTTCTTACACTACCACAAGTATTATTAGAATGAAGCCAAATTCAATCCAATAAGCTATAATACTCTGTGTTTTGGATGGGTTTTTATTATCAAAACTTGCAAAATCAGTGTCCATTTTTACCTTGAGATGTGTGAGTGACAGGGGCAGTGGGTTTGGGTATGGAAATATGAAAGAGAATCATAGATAGAAAAAGCAGAGAGTGGTGGTACAGTACTGAACTGGCCCATGGGCTATGACCTCCACAACAACCATTGTCTCTTGTGTGCTGAATTGGCAAAGATGGCAGAGGAATGAAGGAGAGTGAAGGGAAGGAGATTGTCACCCACATGGCCTAGCCAGAAGGTGAGACCCAAGGACCTGACATTAAAGTGATGGATCCATGCCTGGTGTGTGTGTGTGTGTATATATATATATATATATATATGAATACATACTTGTGTATACATGGATCAAATACTTAGTTGATCATTTCCCCCATAAATAGTTGTGACTGTAGCAAAAAAAACTAGTAAATCCAACTTCAAGTTTCTCACTGCAAACCTACTATGAAATCATCATTCAAAGACAACTTTTGTGGCCCAGTGGAAAGCTCTAAAAACTGTGTGTTGGTGATTTTCTTAATTTGACAAGGAGTGAAGAAAGTCACTATTGTAGACTTTAGGCTGTAGCATCCTTCCTGCCCCAAGTGGATGAAAATTGCCAATGGTATTTTGTCAGCAATGAAGTCCACAGCGACAAGAAGCTTTTGAGCGCCGGTTCAACACTGGGTACTGCATAGATAGAGTATATTCCGTGAG